GCATCCTTGCATTGTTTCCAGTTTTAGAGTAAAAGCAGCTAGTTGTTTGCCATTAAGTTGATGGTAGCTGTAAGTTACTTATAAATCTATTTATCAGATTGGGGAGGTTCCCTTCTTTTCCTTCTGTTGAGAGTTTTTACCATCAGTGGGTATTGAATTTTGTTAAATGTTTTATTCTACTGTGATGAGTTTGTACTTGTTCCTTTATTCTGTTAATATGATGAATTACATTGATTTATTTTGAGATGTTGAAACTTTATGTTCCTGGATTCATTTTGCTGATATTTTGCCAGATCTTTCTTAGCATCTGTTGGTGTGTTCAATTGGAAGGTCATATTAAATGCAGTCACATGTCACTTAACAGGATTTTTGCATCTAGGTTCACAAGGGATATTGGGTCTATAGTTTTCTTTATTTGAAATGTCTTTGTTGGTTTTGGAATGGTATAATGTTACCTCATAAAATGAGCTGGAAAGTTCTGTTTTCTGAAGGAATGTTACTATTTTTTCCTTAAATATTTGATAGAATTTATCAGTTAAGTTATATGCAGCATGCAAAAATATGTAACCAAAAAAAACTTTTATGGGAAAGTTTTTAATTTATGAATCCAGTTTCTTTAATACATATAATGTTATGTATTTGTTTTTAATTTATTTTGATACTGTGTGTCTTTGAAGGTATTTATACATTACATTTAAGTTGCTAATTTAATGACATAAAGTTGTTTAGAATGGTCCCTTATTCTTTCAATACTTATAGGATATTATAATGATATCCCTTTTTAGAAACCTTATAATTGATATTTATAATTGATACCTTCTCATTTTTCTTGATAAATCTGATTAGAAGTATATCAATGTTATGGGTTTATTGTTTGCAAAGAACCAGCTTTCCAAAGAAAATACAATGATTTTCTGTTTTATAATTCATAGATTTCCTTTCTTTTTATTATTTTCTTCATTCTATCTACTTTGAATTTAACTTTCTCTATATTAAGGTAGAAGCATAGATAAATTATTATGCACTCTTCTTAATGTAAGTGCTTAAAGGAATACATTCCCTTTAAATACTGCTCAGGCTGCATCCTACATAATCTGATATGTTTTCATTTTGATTCTGTTCAGAATATTTTCTAATTTTTCTTTGTTTTTTTCTTTGGCTATGGATTATTTAGAATTATGCTTTTTAATTCCTAAATATTTGCTTAGTGTTTTTACATGGCATATCTTTTTCCATTCTGTTACTTTAAACCATGTATATTTTTATATATAAAGTAGGTTTCTTGTAGATAGCATGTAGTTTACTTTTTTTAATCCAGTCTAACGGTCTTTGTCTTCAGGATTTTTAAGACCATTTGCATTTGATGTGATTATCATTATAGTTGGGATAAATATGAGGTCTGACAATTAAGTTTGTCAGTGTATCTTAGAGAAAGTGCTACAACCTTATTGCTGAAGGGTCACTTTGGAAGTATTCTCTTTTGGAAGCTATGTGCTGATAGCAGTGCCTAGTTCACCCTTCAGAGCAATTTTGGAACTCTTTCTGGAATAACCATCAGAGGTGTCATCTTACAGCACGCAAAAATATGTAACCAAAAAAACCCAAAAAAACAAAAAAAACCTTAGCTTTAAAAGAAAAAAAGGGCCATACAACCACACAAAAAATGGTTGATCTTCACAACCAAAATGAACATCACTCAGCAAGACATTGACACAAACACAGCTGCTGATATACTAAGGTTATGAAACCTTACTGAGTTGTTTATACAGTGCTGCCAAGGTAAAGCACACAGTGGCAAGTTCGTGAATTTAACTGTCAGACCTCATATGCTTCTTTGAAAATAACATATCCTTTTTCTTAAGCTTGTTTTTAAAATTATCTTTTTATCTTTATCATTGGTATTTTAGTGATTTGATTATGGTATTTCCTAGTGTAGGATTTTGGAGTTTGTCCTGCTTGGCATTCTTTGAGCTTCTAGTTGCTGTGAGTCTATAATTTTTACCAAATTTGGAAGGTTTTTGGCCAGTAGTTGTTTAGATATTTTTAAAAAGTTCTTCCTCCTCTTCTCCAACTCCAATTGCATATATTCAGCCTTTTCCTTTCTGTGTTTCATTTTGGATACTTTTCATTGTTGTGTCTTCAAATTCAGTGGTCTTCCATACTACTAATCTGTTATTAATCTCATCTAGTATAATTTTTATTTTAGAGATAGTTTTTTATCTGTAGATAATACCTAACTTTTCATCATATCTTCAATTTCTTTGCTCATTTTGTTCATATTTCCCTTTATTTAAATTTTTCTCCATAGTTATATTAGCTGTTTTAATGTCTTTACTGCTAATTTTGTCATCCTTATTTCAAAGTCTGATTGTTCTGGTTATGAGTCACATTTTTACTGCTTTTCTGGTATGTTTAGTGAGTTTTGAATTGATTGTGGACTTTGTAAGTGCATGGTGTTGAGTATCTGGTATTTATTGCCTTCTTAAAAAGAATTGCGTATTGTTTTGGCTGATGGTAAAGTTAATGTTGCTCAGTTTGAGTCATTTGAAGCATGGTTTTAAGACTTATTTAGAGTGGTTCTGGAGTAGCCTTTATATAAAGATTTAAAAATGTAAAACTGAAATGTACTTTTTAGGGTTGATGCATAATGGATAAAATTATAAAGAAAAGCAAAAGATAATTATTACTGAAGTCAGGAAATGGTCCTTTTATTGTGAGAATGTGTTTGAGTATAGCACTTGTCAGGGCAATCTTCTAGGGTGCTGCAAACAGTTTCATTTCTTAACCCAGGTGATGCTCTCATAGAGATTTTTTTCTGTTCTTTACACTTTAAGAAAAAAAAATTCATATGTGTATATAAAAAATGTAATATTTTAAGAGTTTAAAAATGTAATCAGTCTCATTTTTTATATGGCTTTGAGGATCTATGTGTATTTGACTTAATAAAATTTTAAAAAATCATTTCAATGTAAAGTCATTGGAATAATTAATAATATCCCAAGGAGACTGTTTTGAAGATGTAAATTCTGGTGTAATTGTTTTTAAAAAAATAGTTTTTTCAATTTTGGATAGGCACCCATTAATTTGCTTAATAAGTACCATTAAGGAAGGTTGTACTTTAAGGTGTCATTTCTTTAGAGAAAGCAATATAATATGTTTTATTAAAGTTGAATACTTCCACTTGAATCTGTTCTTGCTTGGGATTCTCAGTAGTTTGAGATTAGATTGATTATCATGTAAATGAAAGGTAAGATGTCTCACCATTATTAGGGTCACACTGTAGATCTGGCTTTTTTTTTTTTTGAGACTATTTATTTAAAATATATGTAAACAGTATATACACTTCATATATTTGTGCTTTCGGGAAACTTTGAGAAACGTTCAGCATTCTATCTTTAGCTGAAATAGTCTTCCCAGTAAAAGTAGGTCTTTGTTTTGAAGTGTTTCTGTGAGCCTCATTTATGCTAAATACTTTAACCCCCTCCTTTTGCCTGCTTATCCACCAAATATTTTAGCAAAGTTGTTGACAAGTGTCAAAAATTGCTGATCTAAATTTATTTTCTCTCCAAGAAGTGATAATGAATCCAAAAGGCCGTGGTAGTACAAAGAAGAAACAAAATACATCTTCAGAATGGATACTTGATCTTAACTACTTTGGGGGGATTTTTTCCCCCCTTTTTAATAATGTTAGAGAGTCCTGTATTGGGTTTCTGCTAAGGTCTGAGCTCAGTGTTTGAGATTAGAAATGCTCAATCAGTTCAAATAGCCAATCTAAGATAGATTGTTGAAAGAGAAATGTTTTAGGTTGTCATTGGCTGCTACTTCTAATGGGTTGTCTGAATGTAACATTTGTGGATTAAGTTGATAGGACTGTCTTGGCAGTAATTCCTTTTACCCTCACCAAACCCTGCAGTCACTTCTGCATTAGTTTTCCATTAACTACATAACAAATTACCCCACAATTAGAACACCTGTTTATTAGCACTATCTTCTAATCAACTGAGTTAGTGGCCTCATATCACACCTATTTATTACCTCAGAGTTTCTGTTTGGCTTAGTCCAGGTGTGGCTTAGCTGGGTCCTCTGGTTAGGGTCTCACAAGGATGATGTGAAGACTGAACTGTGTTCCATTCTGGAGCTCAGAGCCCCCTTTCACGCTCATGTGGTTATTGGCAGAATTTGTTGTCACGGTCTCGATTTTCTTTCTGGCTATCAGCCAGAAACTGCTTTCACTTCTAGAAGCTGCCCACAGTTTCTTGCCATGTGACCTATCAGTGCATCTTACTTTTCTGAGGCAAGCAAAAGAATCTCTTTCCTCGTTCGGCTAAGACAGTCTTATATATGTAATATAATCATCGGAGTGATTGTCCTATCACTTTTGTCATATTCCATTACCTAGAAGCAAGTCACAGGTTCTGCCCATACTCAAAGGGAAAGGATTATACAAAAACTTGATTCACTGGATGGGTCTCCTTATGGTGTATTCACCACAACCCCACAAAACAGGGGCTTGGTGGCCTTCCTAGTGTTTCATGAGCCTCTATCCCAGGCATCCTCAAACTACGGCCTGCGGGTCACATGCAGCCTGCCTAGGACATTTATCCTACCCACTGGGTGTTTTTGCTGCTGCTGCCTGTCCTGCCTAGCAGCCGACTCATCCCGGGGCCCACTGTCCAGCCCTCCCAACCATCCGAGGGACAGTGAACTGGCCCCCTATTTAAAAAGTTTGAGGACCCCTGCTCTATCTACTATAAGTAAGAAGGTCCATTTGTGCCTTTTCAGATGACCTTAGTTTCATGGCAAAATGTGTAATTTGGATTTTTCTAATATTAAATATTTTCCCTAGTGAACAGAATTAAGATAATTTTCTCTAGGATATACTTCTAAGACTCAAAAAAAATTCAAATTTATAGGGAGTTTTGACAGTAGCAAATGCTTCATTATGTAACTGAATATGACATTCTTTTCTATGCTTTTGTCAAATTGCTCTTGTTCTTCAGTGCAGGAATCACAGCCATGGCCCCCACCCTCCAGGATTTGGTCGATGTGGCAACTGTACACATGAAAACAAGGAACTTGCCAAGGCAAGAGAAGCTCTTCCTCTTATAGAGGACTCTAGTAACTGTGACATTGTAAAAGCTACTCAGTAAGTCTTCCAAATGCTTTGTTGTATCCTTATGCATATATTAATAATAATGTATGTGCAGTTTATGATACCCCATATGCTTACCTTCCTCACTTGATCATGGTGTTCATTAACACCACCACTAAGTGTGTTTGTCATACCAGCATCAGAGTACTTAGTATAGAGTCCCTTACCTGTTTACATACTAGGCTCTTGCACTAAGATTATGGGCAAACTTGTTAATAAATGCATATTTTCATCTTTGTCTTATATTAGGGATCCAACAAATGTTTGTTGAACGAATAAATGACTTAAATGATGCTAAAACTAGACTCTTAATTTGAAACACAAATCTGAGTCTTTAAAATACACTACAAGCTAAGTATCTGGATATGATGAAAATAACAGCTAACACATTTATAGATATTTTTAAATAGTCATTTGTTTATTGAGTACTTTCTATATGCTTATACTGGGTATGCTAGAAGAAAGATAGTAAGGTAAGGTGGAAATATATGTTCTCTGACCACTTGAAACATACAGTGTGTTGTTTTGCTTACACTAAAAATGGAAGTACATTTTGAAAGTTTTCCCTCAAGATCTCCCTATGTGGGGGTTAACCTTAAGTCAGTTATTTCCAGCATATTCACCCTTATGGATTATCAACATCCACCCTAGCTCTTGCCATTGAACATATTTTGAAATATTTTCTTCATCAAACTACATTAATTAGTAATCTATTTTCTTAGTAATCAAACATAATCTGCTCTTGGGTTGCTCATCATATATATTATAAATCATACCCATCAAAATTAGCATGAAAAGGCCACGCACAATGGTTCATACCTGTAATCCCAGCACTCTGACAGGCTGCGGCCGGTGGATTGCTTGACCTCAGGAGTTTGAGACCAGCCTGAGCAAGAGGCAAGAGTGAGACCCCGTCTGTAAAAAAAAAAATAGCCAGGCTTTGTGGCGGGCACCTGTAGTCCCAGGTACTGGGAAGACTGAGGCAACAGAATCACTTGAGTCCAAGACTTTGAGGTTGCTGTGAGTTATGATCCCATGGCACTCAACCCCAGGGCAACTGAGACTCTGTCTCAAAAAAACTTAGGGTGAAAGGAACTAATGTTACCACACTAATGTGGTATGCTTTCTCTTTGCTAATTAAGAACATATATGAACTCTAGGAGCCCTGGGAACCACTACTATGAAGTGATATTATTTCTACTCATACAAATGAAAGTGTTCTCTCTCATTCTTGAGTAAGAATGGAAACATTCAAATCTTTTTTTTTTTTTTTGGCTACTTCTGATCATATTATGTGAGAAATTAGGCATATTCACAGGAAATCTGTGTTAAAAACTCACGTTTTGTATCTCTCCTTAAATGTTCTTTGGGTCTTGGACTTTCCCAAGTAGTTGTGGGGGGATCTGGAACGTAGTGTTTGGAAAGGACAAAAGAGAGCTGGGATGTGTGTGTGTTTTTGTATATGTTTGTGTGTTTTCTAAACTGCTAAAATCCTAATTAATGCTTATTCTTACTATGCTTCTCAAATAAAGGGATTATTTCTATTCCACTAAAAAGTTAAAGATGACATTTAAAAGATGGAGAGTGAGGCAGCGCCTGTGGCTGAAAGGAGTAGGATGCCAGTCCCATATGCCAGAGGTAGCCGGTTCAAACCCAGCCCCGGCCAAAAACTACAAAATAAATAAATAAATAAAAATAAAAGATGGAGAGTATAAATATATGTATGTGTCATTATCAAAAATTTACTTATTAATAGTTTCCCTTGGTACTGTCAAACAGATGTCTCTGCCTTGTAAAAATGCCAAAAAGACAAACACATACACACACGCACCCCCAGTTTAGTAAGGCTGAAATTATTTTTAATTCAATTAACAGTGTGGGAAACAGGAAATTCTGCCATTTGTTTTGGCTTTTGACTCTTGAAACATTTAAGTCCTTCTAAATAGAAATAAATTTTAGGCTCGGCGCCTATAGCTCAACCGGCTAAGGCGCTAGCCATGTACACCTAAGGTGGCGGGTTCGAATCCCCAGCCCGGACCCGCCAAACAACAATGACGGCTGCAACCAAAAAATAGCCGGGCGTTGTGGCGGGCGCCTGTGGTCCCAGCTACTTGGGAGGCGGAGGCAGGAGACTCGCTTGAGCCCAGGAGTTGGAGGTTGCTGTGAGCGTAATGCCATAGCACTCTACCCAGGGGGACAGCTTGAGGCTCTGTCTCAAAAAAAAAAAAAAAAAAAAAAAAGAAATAAATTTTAAAGCAAGTACTTAATAGTTTGGACTTCACAGTTTTTGTTGAAAAGAAATATTGCTAATGAATGATTTTTTTTTAATTGTATTATTACATAGAGGTATTTGTGGGACTACAAACTAGTACTACCTCTTTGGAAAGTAGTATGACAATACCTCAGAGAACTAAAAATAGTTCTAACCATTTGACCCATCAATCCCACCATGGGGAATTTACTCAAAGAAGAAATGTCATTCTGTAAAAAGGACGCTTGGATTTGAATGTTCATAGCAGCAAAATTTACAATTGCTAAGATGTTGAAACGACTCAGTGTGCCCATCAATATGTGAGTGGATTAATAAAGTATGGTATATTTATACCATGGAGTATTACTCAGCTATTTAAAAAAATGGTGAACTAATACCTTTTGTAACAACCCAGATGGAACTAGATACCACCTAAGTGAAGTATCACAAGAATGGAAAAACAAACACCACACATGCTCACTTCTAAAATGGAACTAAATGTATGTGTACATATGGTAGTAAAATTCAATGAAAATAAAGCAGGTGGAAGTGGAGAAGAGGGCATAGGTAAATTCACACCAACAGACCAAATGACTACTATCAGGGGGATAGACATAATATAACCTTGACTCAAACTATACAAAAGTAATGCATGTAGCCAAAACATTTGTACCCCTATAACATTCTGAAATGCAAATTTATTAATTAAAATGTTTAAAGGAAGTGTTTCTCACCCTAACAGTCAATGTCTCTCAAGTCCATCCTTGCTTTTACATTTCCATTGCCTCTCTTACTTTAGGCTCTCACTGGTATTTATTATTGTAGCCTCTAAAGTGGTCTCTCAGTCTCTGTCCTCACCCTATTTATTCTAAGCCGCTTTCATACTGCCACTAATGTGATCTTTCTTAGAATACAACATCTGAGTGCTTTCCTCTTATAAACCCTTTCTTGGTTTCCCTTTGAACCATAGGTAAAGACAAAACTTCATAGCATGGCATAGAAGACGTATGTGGTCTTTACTGCTTCTAGTGTCATCTCTTACCATTCTCTCTCTTATGCTTTATGCTTCAGCAATGCTAAATTGTGTTTATTTTTCTGAATATCCATGTTGTATCACATCTCTAATTTTTGTGCATGCTATTTCCTCTGCCTGAAATGCCCTCCCCTTCCATCAGCCTATAGGCCAGTAGTGCTCAACCTGTGGGTCGCGACCCCTTTTTATCAATGAAAATACATTGCATTAGGAAGGTTGAGAACCACTGCTATAAACTATATCTTAGTTTATCTCATTCAAGAAGGGCTAATCATTCCTATTTCTGCTATACTTATTTTATATCTATATTTTGTTGAATTTATCCCACTCTGAGTTTCCTTTCAGTCTTTCTTCCTTATTGTGAGTTTATTGCATGGGCTTGGTTTGATTCAGGGATAAAACTACAGTGAGGAATCAGCACTATGTGTTTTGGCACATGCTGGGGGATCAAATAAAACTTACTGGAGGAAGACAATGTGACTGTTAAAGTTTACTTAAGAAGATTAAGTTCAACTCCAAATATATTAATCTGATTAGTAAGTAAACCATGTTATTTGGCTTTGCACCATGTCCTGTTTGTGATCATCTTTGTTGTTAATTATTGCTTTTGTTGGCCAAAAGACAGTTTGACTAAAGTGAAAGCTTTGGTAAAAGGAAGAAATTTTAATATTTGAAATTATTTTAACAATATCAATTATACCTTTTTTTTTTTTCTTATTTGAGATACGGGATTTTTGAACGATGTAAAGAGCTGGTAGAAGCAGGATATGATGTCCGACAACCAGACAAAGAAAATGTGTCACTTCTTCATTGGGCTGCTATTAACAACAGGCTGGAACTTGTAAAGTAAGATGGGATATATGTGTGTTAATTGTGTATTTTTATAATTTTAGACCACTCCTTCATTTATCTTTTTCTTTGAGTGCAAGTATGAGTATTGAGCCATCTATAATCCTTTATTATAAATGAAGTCCTTTCTGCCACATACATCAGTTAATGTTTTTTAAAACTAAATGTGGGATACAGTTATAAGTGGACATGTATTAGATTGTATAAAGTATTTACCTTTTATAAAGCATGACTACTTACTCATTTCTTTCTGTTTTATGCCTTAGCATGTAAAATATATATGTTCATGTGACTATGTGTTTTTGTATTATAGAATTAAATACAGGATGACCATAAAGGCCATAACTTTGAGGCTACCCTCTATTAAAAATATACAAGTTTTAAGAAAATGAAAGTTTATAAAGTTTAAAATATTCTAACACAAATTACACTCACAGGCAAACTTCTTTTCTGTGGAAATAAACTGGTATAATGTTTAGATAATACAATGTATGAAATACAACTTTGAGGTAATGAGACTTTTGTAAACCATAGAAGAAAATCAGTCTGATTAACTTACACATTTACTGTATATAATGTATCACATGCCCCCAGGGAAAGAGCAAAACATTCAAATGTCCAACTTTTCTGAAAGGATTTTAAATTAACTTTTTACTATTTGTAGAATTCATACCCTATTAGTAATTCTAATTTCGAACTGTTGAAAGTGACATAATTTTGCCTTTCTCCTCTCAAGTTAAATAAGAATGTCTGATCCTAAGCCTTTTGCGTATAAACTATTTCAAGAGTGCTGTGGTAGTTAGACTATGCAGAAAGTAGTGGTTATGTGTTTGGTATATAAGTTATAATAGAATGCTAATTACAACAAGAGTTATTACCTATATGCTAAGAATGTTTCACCACGGATATGCCTGATATTGCCAAGTGAATCTTTCAGACTTCTCTAAATCTGGGTGTTTTGGGGAGGGTTATTTTCATAATTTTAATTATCTAACATTTATTACTAAGAAAAATTTAGTGTTTTTTTGTAAATATGTATTTTAAGTTTCAAATCTTATTTTTATTTATGTTTGCTTTTCACAGGTTTTATATTTCAAAAGGTGCTGTTGTAGATCAGTTGGGTGGAGATTTAAATTCAACTCCTCTTCACTGGGCTGTCCGGTAAGGTTTCTATAAAGACTGAAATTAAATAGGGGCATGTAGCTAGTGGTCACCATATTGGAAAACACAGTTTTAGACAATTCAAAGGACTTTGTTTTCTTTTTTTTGTTGTTTTTTTCCTTGTTTATTTAAAAATAAATGACTGCTTTAAAAAGTTTTCAGAAAGAGTGCTTTTGGTATTTGGTCTAGGGTTCCATTGTGATTATTAAACACAAATATGTGTATTGTACTTTTTTATAATTAGAATAAATATTTTTTTCTATTTGTTCACATCAATAAAAGCAGTAGTTCAGCCTATTTGGAAACTTACAGTGGTAATTTTATTTTAAAGAGCTGAATTTTTCTCTCAGGTGAATGTAAAGTATATATCTTTAGGGTCAAATGAGTCAGCTCTTTTGAAAGTTGCTTCAGGATTAATAAGAAATTTTGAGTATGTCGACTTAGACATTTATATTCTTTGGTCACTGTCCTCTTTACTCTGATATGCATTGGCCATCTGAAGCTGAAGTTAATAAGGCTTGATACTTAACAGCTTTTTCTTTTATTTAAACTCTACTTTCTGTGGTTGGTGGGGTTGACATAAACCTGAAACTCAAGTCAATAATTGTTCAGGTAAAGCGAAGAGTTGAATCTTTTCTTCATAGCCAAGAGATTTGTAGAATAATCTATGGGTAACTCAACCTCTTTAAGCTACTGAGGTACAGTGATTTACATGACAAATGAAACATGTTCAAGTATAAGAATATATAGTTCTTAAGAATATCACAGTGTAGCCATAGTTTGTGAATATTATACTTCTGTCTATATATCTGACTCATGATTACATTTTGTTTTTAAAATAGCAACAGTAAAGTCTAAGTGATTTTAAAGTCTTATAAGCATGTTATATAAGATTATTACATAAGGTTTAAGGTAGATAGTGAAGATACCAAGTTTATAATTTACACTAAAGAATGACTATCCATATAGTTCTAAGTTAGGAGTATCTAAGTAGATGTTTGGCTTAGGAATCTGAGTTTCTCACTGAATTTTTTTCTTTTTCTGCATGCTACAGAATAATTTTTTGTCTTTTAATTATAGACAAGGACATTTACCTATGGTCATATTATTACTCCAGCATGGTGCAGACCCCACTCTCATCGATGGAGAGGGATTCAGCAGTATCCACCTGGCAGTATTATTTCAACACATGCCTATTATAGCATATCTCATCTCAAAAGGACAGGTATATTTTAAAATGTGTATTATACTCCCCCTATTATAATTTGAAGAGACTGGGGAGATTATTAGTAATTTGTCCTCATTTTAAAAGTAAAGGCTAATGGCTGTCTAGGTATTCAAATATTAGCCTCAGTAAGGCTAGCTATTGAATACTGCTTTTTCTGCTTCATTGGTATGAAAAGGACAGGTCATTTAGCTCAGTAACATAAAATTGATGTTTCTGAAACTTATAAGCCTATAATAGTTTTTCTCATAAAACCCAGTAATTTGCAGTGTTTTTAAAAAATTTGAGTGGATGCTTCTTATTATTCTCCAAAGTAATTCTATAAAAAATGACTTGCCTTAGAGCAGGCGTTCTCAAACTATGGCCAGTGGGCCACATGCAGCCCGCTGAGAACATTTATCTGGCCCGACAGGTGTTTTTGCCGCTGATGCCTGTCCTGCTTAGCAGCCTACTCGTCCCAGGTCCTGCAGTCTGGCCCTCCAACTGTCTGAGGGACAGTGAACTGGCCCCCTGTTTAAAAAGTTTGAGGACCCCTGCGAGGCACGGGTTAAACTTGAGGTTATTGGCAGCAGGAGTTTTACTGTCAACTCTACTTGCCTGAAGTGTGCTTTCTGGTAGCAAAGTAGTTTACATACTAACAGACTTGTGAAAACATGTTTGCACAAATGGTATTAGAATGATTGTACTCTCTCTAAATAAGCACTTTTTCTCAGACTTAGCCAATTGAAGTAGAATGATTGTAACTCTTGGGCTTCATTTTGGAAAGATGTAAGAGGAGGTGTCTTTCCTGCTTCTCTTGGGACTCCTTCCTAAGTTCTGTTTCTCCAAAGCCTGTAAGAATCTCCTTTTTTATTTGGCTTGGTTGGAACCATTATTGTACACATTTAGCCTGGACTTGTTTTATTAAAAGGAATATATCTTCATGGAAATATGATTTCCTTTTTTTCTCTATTCCAAAAAATAAAAAATATTTTTTTGTGTTTTACTCTTCAAAACTTAATATTTAATTTCAAAAATACAAGTTGCCTTAGAAGACGGAGAGATCACTATTACTGGAAGTATTTGAGTAGAGGCTGGATAGCTTTGTACTATGTATAAGAAATGGTAGCATGAATTAATGTGTCAACTGAGGTCTAAACTAGATGACTTTTAAGGTTTGTATTGTCTTTTATATTTGATGCTGGCTATCAACATCCTACTCTTTTCCTTAGCTGTCCTCTGTTTGCATCATACAATGTTTTACATCATATATCCAAATTTTTCCCTTTAAAAATATTTTATCAAGGCCAGGTGCAGTGGCTCATGCCTATAATCCTAGCACTCTGGGAGGATGAAGTGGGTAGATAGCTTGAGCTCAGAAGTTCCAGACCAGCCTGAGCAACAGCTAAACCCTGTCTCTATTACACATAAAAAAACAAGCTGGTGTATTGGTGGGTGCCTGTAGTCCCAGCTACTTGGGAGGCTGAGGCAAGAGGCTTGCTCAAGCCCAAGAGTTTGAGGTTGCTGTGAGCTATGATGCCACAGCACCTTACCAAGGGCAACAAAGTGAGAATGTCACAAAAAGCATGTATTTTATGGAAATCCATGGATTTTTTTTTTTAACCCTATGGAAGTGAAACAGAACTTTCAAATGATATTTGAACCTTTCATGGAGACACAATAGTAGGGCTAAATGTATTGAAAAGATATTTCTAATGAGAAGAAACAAAATTTTGAGTATGTTTATATTTATGCAAGTTGGTTTCTTTTTGACTAGAGTGTGAATATGACAGATGTAAATGGGCAGACACCTCTCATGTTATCAGCTTATAAAGTAATTGGGTAAGTGAGTTCAAGTGATTGTCTCAATCTGATTCTTGGTTTCAACAATTTCTTTCCTGTATATACAATTTTAAGTATCTCAGTTTATGTGAGATGATAGTACATTCTAAAGTATTAAATTCAAATTCTCTAAAGAATATGAGATTTTCTACACTGTGACAGTAATATGGAATTTTAGGGTAGTTATAATTGGAAAAGTACCATATTTTCTCTTTTCTGGTAGTTTTGGTGAAAAGTTTGAAAGCTACTAACAAGAGAAAAATGTCTTTGTAGAACACGTAGAGTTTCCTTAGCATATACTTGTTAACATGGCTTATATTTCTTCTTTCGCATTTAAAAAAATGGCTACAAGTTTGAACATTCTGATAATTTGAAATCTAGGTTATAAATCTGTTTTTTGGTAAATAATAAATTTTGACATTCTTTGACATTGTTGACTGCTCTAAAAATATTAATTATAACTGATTTATGAAAAGAATGTTTGTATGTTTAGATTTTTGTATTCATTTTTATAAACACATGTGAGTTATGACCACTATCTAGTCCACCTTCTGGTATTCACTGTGCAAATACATGCCAGTTGTCCTTTATCAGTTTGTGTCTATGTTGTACTAAATCTCTGATTCTGCTTTTAACTAGGACTTCTCTTCTGGGAATTGAGTTAACTTTAATACCATTTCCTTTTTGTTCATGGAATGGTGGGATTAGGGGTAGAATTTTCTTAAAAAGTATTTTCTGTTTTTCATTGATAACTCTGAAGTCAGGTATGGTCTCTAAAGAACCTGATGGAATAATTAATTTAGAATATTGTTTTATTAATAAAATCTCCTGGAGTCATGAAGGAAGGGAAGGCATTGATGATAAAGTAAAAGTATTTTATGAATTCTATCTTCTAGTCTATAACTTTCTCAGATATAAAATACTTTATGCCATAATTTATACTTCTTTTATTTAATAATTGATTAGAGAGTATGAAGCTAACTCTTGGTTTATCTCCTCAAATATAACATACATTTAGCCTTTAATTGGATAAATAACATAGTATTTAATATTAGCCAACGTTAAATCCACAATTTTAAAAAATGTTAACCAGTAGAACAATAACATGAAAGTAAACATTTGAAAAATAAAAGCAGTATTCTACAGTATTGATGTTAAACTTATCTAGATAGCAGGCTGTCACTTAATAGATGTCTTTTATGGAGGTGGAAGGATATCTTTTATTAGTACCTAGAATAGAATTTGGCACAAAGAGCCTCCTCAGTTGTTCAGAATATTTACTGATTGGTTAATTGATAATTAGCTTAACAAATTCATTATTTGCATTTATTCCTGAAATCATCATGTCTGTTACTAAACCTTGGTATTTTACTGTTTTGAAACAGGCCAGAACCAACTGGATTTCTTTTAAAGTTTAATCCTTCTCTTAATGTGGTTGATAAAATACATCAAAACACTCCACTTCATTGGGCAGTTGCAGCAGGAAATGTTAATGCAGTTGATAAACTTTTGGAAGCTGGTTGTAGCCTGGATATCCAAAATGTTAAGGTATGACCAGGTATTTATCTCTTTTAAAAGTTTTTTACATCTTCAGGTGGAAGATTGATAAATTAACACAAAGATAAGCTATATTTTCAGTTATCACTATACAACTAGATAATAATAGCTGGCTACGCTTGAAATAAATGTGTTGAATATGATTCTGGTTAGTTTTTTAAAAATTATTTAGCACCCACAGTATATCAAAAATGTCACTAAACTTCTACTCCCTCTTTTTTTTTTTTTTTTTAAGGGAGAAACACCTCTTGATATGGCAGTGCAAAACAAAAATCAGCTCATTATTCACATGCTGAAAACAGAAGCCAAAATGAGAGCTAACCAAAAGTTCAGACTTTGGAGGTGGCTACAGAAATGTGAGGTATTTTCAAATGGGGCCTGTTCTGTGTGATGTAAGAACCTTTTGTTCATTTGTTTTGTTTCCTTTGTTTCTTAAGGCATCAGAGGAAACCAGAGAATTGCATTTTTGCTGCATTATATAGGCTGATTATATCTTTTCCATGTATCCCATGACCCAAAGTTAGAAATTTGGCATTTCCATTGGCTTTTTATTGTTCCTCAGCTAGATGGCTCCAAAACTATAGGTTACCTTGTGAATATTATGGCATACTTCCATATTTATTTAATGAATGAATTGAAATGTAAATAGCTTGATTCTTAGAGAAGCAAAGGAAGCACACCTTTTGACAAGGAATTTTATAGAAGTTTATCTTAAGGAGTTTATTTCTTATTAAATTTTTTTCTCAAAATGAGAGTAATAACATTCAAAAAATTTTATTAGAATCCTAAAGACTGGAAAAATGACAATATTACAAACTTTAAGCATGTGAAGTCACTTTATAAAATAAAACATCTAGAATTTTGAAAGTTGAAACCCAAATTTTATTTATTCTCTTTACTTAGCAATTCTGACTGGTATTCTTTTAAAACTTAAAGTGAATTGAATAATAGAAAAAGTTAGAAAATTCAGCTTGCTCTCATGAATGGCTAGTAAAATCAAAGTCATATTAGTGAATATATGAAGTCTGACCATTAAGTTTGCTAACTCATCCTAGAAAAAGTGCTTCATGTCTCATTGCTGAATATTCCTATGACCTTCAAAGTACTCTCCTTGGCCATCTGGTGACCATAGTGATATTCAGCAATGATATATGTAGCACTTTTTCTAGGATGAGTTCACAAATTTAATGGTTAGACCTCATACCATGATAGCTCTGGTGGCCATTCTAGAAAAAGAGTTGCAAAATTACTGTGAAGTGTGGACAAGAGGCTGGCATCAGTGCATAGCTTTCAAGGGGAATACCTTGAAGGTGACTGTAGTAATACATAACAAGCAATGAGATATGTAGCTCTTTTTCTAGGATGAGTTCACTAACTTAATTGTCTGACCTCATAAGTCTAAATGTTAAAAAGGGATAGTGGATTGATTCTCTGTTTCTAATGTTTTCAAATATGATACCATAATCTTATCCAATAATAATTAGAAATTATACTTTCAGAGTGATTGTAAATTAACATGCACCAGGTTCCTCTTTTCCTAGCTCCTCCACGTCTCCCTCATCTCTTATTGGTAGGGTGCCTTGGGATTGTATGCTTGAACCTCTTTTCTATCTAATCATTCCCTAAATGCTACCTGTATGTTAACAACTCCCTAATTTGGCTCTAGTCCAGACCTTTCCAGACTCATGTAATATTTGATATGTCCATTTACCTACTTGACACATCCAGTTCCATATCCAGTGGGCATCTCTTGATCTCCCCACTTCACTCCAACTAAGCCATCCTCATCTCAGTAAGCGGCAACTCCAGCATTCTAGTCAACTTCCCCTTTCTCTTTCATACCACATATCCAGTCCATTAAAAGGACATGTTGGCTAGTTCTGCCTTCAGTTTATATCCAGAATCTGAGCCCTTCTCATCACTCCACCAATGCTGCATTGGTCCAGGAGATGAATCTTTTAAAATGTAAGTCACATCATATTAGTCATCTCAAATTTCTATGATGTATCCCCATTTTTCCCTAAGTAAAAGCAAAGTCATTACTATGGCCTGCAAGGTATCATGTAATCCAGCTCTTTTATGTGCTATAAAATTTACATAATAAATTTATCTATCTTCCCTAGCTAGAATTAAAATAATAGAAATACTCAAAACTCATTGATGTGTTCTAAGTGCTCAGAACAGTACCTTCCATACAGTATGTCCTTCAATATTTGTTGAATGAATATCACATTTTTATCTTGCTCATCTGTAAGAGTGTTGTATCTTGGATTTAGAATTTTGATGTTCAATCTAATTATCTCTGTTCTGAGATTATGTTGCTTATAGATTCTAAATATTTTTTAAAAATCTATACTTGCTCATTTTATGTCATTATGCCAATTGGAATTGGAAGCATTTTAAAGATTTGATGTCATTTGAAATTATCCTCTCCCAGATATAGCTTAGAGATATGAAAATGGAAGAAGATAGGGCAAAATACATTTTTTTTATCTTTGTTGTTACAAAAACCCTGCTTGCTTTCAAGGTCTGGTATCTTGTAATTAAGGGGCTGCATTGCACAAATGTGGAGTCTGGCATCAGTATGACTGTTGGTTCATAGAAGTTTGATTCCTTTAACTTTGCCAAGATAAACCTGAATCATTAGCATTTGGAAGACTCATTTCAGTCCTTGATCTCTGTGTCACATTTGACACTAAGAACTTTTCCCTTCTTGAAACTCTGTTTCCTGGTTTCTCTGAAACCTTTCTTTCTTATCCTGCCTTTCTGGTCAGTCTTTCTTCATTGCCTTTGGAGACAGCTTTTTTTCCCCTTAGATGTTTGTTTTAGGTAAGATTCTGCACCTTTGTACCTATATATAGTCTTTGGGGTGTTTTTTGCTTATGATTTTACCTATAAACCAGTAAATCTCAGGTCTTCCAGAATGATAGATAGAACTTCCTTTTTTTTATTGCCTTCTAGATATCTCCTAGGTGTCCATAGGCATTAAAATTCTTCATTCCCCAAACAAAACTTTTGCAAACTTATTCTGTCTAATCTTTATTAGGTGGTGGCACCATCTGGTGCTCAGGTTGGAGCTCTTATACTCCCCTCATAGAGGATGTGTTGATTTTTGTGTGGTTTCCCTATCTTGCTTTATGCTTTCCAACACAGAATGCTGTTTACAAGAAATTATTTTTAAATTTTCAGCTTTTATTAGCATTTTCCAAAAGATGACTATATCTTTTAGGGAAGAAAAAGCAAAACAAAATATGTTTAAGCAAAATTTTATAAAATGTAGGGCTTTTAAAAGATTATTTCCAAGTTATATAATTCCTCAAACTTCAGATTCATCAGTTGCAGTTTTGAAGAAAAATTCTGGTAGTTCTGTTATTATATTAATTGTTATATATTTGGGAAGTCATTCTTATATTAAACTGATGATTAGTAGATACTTAAGAGGTAAAATCCATAAAGTTCTAACATTCTGCATCTGTCAATAGCTCTTCCTACTGCTGATGCTTTCTGTGATTACCATGTGGGCTGTTGGATACATATTGGACTTCAATTCCGATTCTTGGCTTTTAAAAGGATGTCTTCTGATAACATTGTTTTTTCTAACATCTCTGTTTCCAAGGTATGTATGTTATCCTTTGCAAGGAAATTTATTGTATTTTCAATTTAATTGCTTATTTCCATTGTTACGTGTAATGGAAATAAATGTCCACTCAATGTTCCTTACCACATAAAAACATTCGATGGTTGGTGAGAGGAAAGTGCTTTAGTAGCATATGATTTGGCAAAAAGCAAATTGTTTAACCCAGTAATTTGATTGAATTGACAATTTGTGAAAAATAAATATCCTAGGTCACTTTTGGAATTATTAGTTTAAGTGAATAATGGGAAGATTTTGTAATCATTTTGCTTCTTAAAGCAAGCAATTTGACTCATTTTTCAGAAATCGTATGGGTTATTTTTTACCTAAATCTAAATTCATTTTAAGCTAGTTATTTTTGCTATAAGGAATTTTTAGTTAAAACAACCTAATTAAATTGTGGGAAATTATAAAAAGGTAAATTTTGGTATGGTTTCATTTTAGGAAAGTACTTATACATGATTTTGTATAGTTCATGATTAAGAGTCAGGTTGCCTGGATTCAAGTCAAGCTTTACCACATAGTGGTCTGGCATTCAACAAGTTGGTTTACTTCTTCATTCCTCAATTTATTCATCTATAAAGTGAGGATAATCATTTTGATAATGCCTGAGTCATGTTAATACTACATGTAAATGCTTACAAAAGTGGCTGACACATAGTACTCAATAATCATATCACACCCCATCTCTTCTCCTTCTCTCTTTCCTTTCTCAGTAAAATTACATCTAGTTCCTCTCATGTATAGGGGTGTCATTCTGGGATTCCTGTCATCCTCTCCCTGCCGCCCACATCCAGCCCATTACCAAGTGCTCTCTGCTCTGCTTCTATCTCTACAACTGGCACTGACCTTAACTCTTATACCTCTTATTATTCACCCCTACTTAGCAATCAAGGTGGTCTTTTAGAAAGGCAAATCAGTTTCTGTCTTTCTCCCTGCTCAAAGCCCTCTAGTAGCTTTCTCTTATACTCAAAGTAAAGTCCAAACTCCTGCCTATGAGGTATTAGGGGATTCGTTCCCTCCCTGCTGACTTAATCTCTCCCCCTACCCTAACTGCACCACATACACATTCTTCTTTTCCTGAAACACATCAGACTCATTCACAACCTAGGAGCTTGGCTCTTGCTCATGTTTTTGTCTGAAGTGTTCTGACACCATAACTTTGCATTGCTGCATATGTTATTCAGGCCTCAATTTAGGTATCACCTCCGTAGTGAGGCTGTCCCTGACTGACTCTACTGCATCACCCTGTTTTACCTTCTTCATAACTCTTAATAACTTTCCTGTAGTGTATGGCCCACACAAACAGAAAACTTGTTTCTGCTGTTAAACATTTTCACTTACTGAGTGAAAAAAAATACATGTAATGATGTTGATCCATAGAAAAGGATCTAAAAGGAAATATAGTGTTACTCTTTGCCAGGTGTTTTTATGAGTACACCTGTGTCTTTCTGTTGCTTACCAGCACTTTCTGGAATAAGCATGCACTGCTTTTGTCATAAGAGAAAACAGTATTAGAGGGATCTTACTACTGGCTTACCCAACCACAGGACAATTGCCTGGAAATGAGTTAGAATTTAAATGTACAATAACGACTCAAATTTCAGAAAAAAATAGCAAAATGCCTTAATTTGTCCATTATTCGTGAAACTTGTCACTTAGCGATATTCATTCATTTTCCACTAATTGGATTGATTCAGTCTCTAAATCAGGTTCAAGCCAAGTCACCAGGAATCACAATCATTACTCTTCTTTTCAGAGAGAAAGCAAGGGATAGTAACATCTATTCATCCAAGATAGGAAGAAGCATTTGAAATTTTGTTTGGCTATTTGTTTATTTTAGTCAATACCTACATTATAGGGAAGACCATGCACAGTGGCACACGCCTGTAATCCCAGCACTCTGGGAGGCCGAGGTGGGCAAATTGCTTGAGCTCAGGAGTTCTAGACCAGCCTGAGCAAGAGTGAGACCCAGTCTTTAAAAAATAGCCAGGCGTTGTGGTGGACACCTGTAGTCCCAGCTACTTGGAAGGCTGAGGCAAGAGAATCACTTGAGCCCAAGAGTTTGGGGTTGCTATGAGCTGTGATGCCACAGAACTCAACCAAGGGTGACTAAGTGAGACTCTGTCTCCCAAGAAAAAGTAAATAAATAAAACCTACATTATAAAAAACCATGTAAAAACTTGTTTTCGATGACAGTGAGTTGAGGGCTTAATATACTATGCTTGGCATATGGATATAATTTAAATGTGACCCAAATGCATGTGGTAACTACCATACTGCTTTTATTTCTCTCATACTCCTCTGTAGGAGTCCCAGTGTCATAGAGGTAAGCACCTGTGAACTTTTATTATCATTATTATTATTACAGGGGCAGTTGTTTATTGATCTAGGCTGTCATATGACACTTGTCAGAAATAGACAAGTAGTAGTAACAGGCTCTTACAAATTAGGAATTTCATTACACTGTAATTAGGTCACATGCATTTTTTACTACAAAATCACAGGCCATACTCTGGAAGTTACATGGGCTCCATTTGGCCTATTTTGGCAGCATATTGGATGTCTGAGGTTTGGGATTTTTAGTTCTTCTCAAATATGAACTTATCATAATTATGGTTATGATCCTGATACCTATTATTAACCATTGCTTTTGCCTGGTATATGTTTTAAAATATATCCAGGTAAGCTATATTCACACATAGGATAACTATTGAATATTTAGTGTAAAAGACATTTTTTTTGTGTGTGTGAGTCTCATTCTCTTGTGCTCGGTAGAGTGCTGTGGCATCACAGCTCACAGCAACCTCAGACTCTTGGGCTTAAGCGATGCTCTTGCTTCAGCCTCCCAAGTAGCTAGGACTACAGGTGCCCACCACAATGCCTGGCTATTTTTGTTGTTCTTGTTGTTGTAGTTGTCATTGTTTTGCAGGCCCTGGGCTGGGTTTGAACCTGCCAGTCCCTATGTAGGTGGCCAGTGCCCTAACCACTGAGCTACAGGTGCCAAGCCAGATTTTTTTTTCTTTTGAAATTATAAAATTATAGAATTAAACATTTTGAGTAGAGTTTTATGTGGACTTCAAGTTGCTTGTTACCCAAGCGAAATTGTTAGTGTTCTGATGACTAGCATCACTTATAGCCTTTATGTATCTTTTCATATAAGGTATCTGCTTCTCAAAGTGGAGTTGCAGGATGAAAGTACATAAGATTGTTTGCACCTGTATGTTTCATAAATACGCTACCAGCCTCTGGAAGAAAGCTTATGAAATATGTCCAAATTTTTGCATTTTGGTGTATTTAAAAATATATGCCCAAAAAGAAATTCAACTATAAGTCTCAGTAGAAGTGTAAAAGATTCATTGAAAATGTATATTAAATTATTGTGAATGACATAATAAGTAAGTTGGTTAGAAGAACTAGAACATATACTTCTTGGGAGTCATTTTGCTTCAGTTTTTTTTTTTTTTCTTTTGAGACAGAGTCTCACTTTGTTGTTCTTGGTAGAGTGCTATGGCATCATAGCTCACAGCAACCTCAAACTCTTGGGCTCAAGCAATTCTCTTGCCTCCTGAATAGCTGGAACTATAGGCATCTACCACAGTGCCCAGCTATTTTTTTTTTTTTTTTTTTTTACTGGGGCCAGGTTTGACCCCACCACCCCCAGTATATGGGGCCAGTGCCCTACTCCTTTGAGCCACAGGAACTGCCCCCAGATATTTTTTCTTTAGAGAAATCTCACTCTTGCTTAGCCTGGTCTTGAACCTTTGAACTCAGGCAGTCCACCTGCTTTGGCCTCCCAGAGTGCTAGGATTACAGACATGAACCACTGTGCCCAGTCTTGCTTCAGTTTTCTTATGGTACAATGGAGTGACAGTGGCACATAATGCCATTACTCCATGAAAAATAACACATAGTAAGTACTCAGTAAGTGAAAGTTATTGCTACTGCTGCTGCTGCTACTTATTATTATTACTGTCATTATTACTTAGGGAAATTTAAAATTAGAATTAAAATGAGCCATACTAATACTTTATTCCACTAATGCCTTATGTTTATCTTTTTTCTTTTTTCTTTTAGGTTCTTGGTTGGGTATAAGAATCTTGTATACTTACCCACAGTCTTTCTGCTAAGTTCCGTTTTTTGGATATTTATGACTTGGTTCATCTTATTCTTTCCTGATATCCTTTAAGCTCAAATTTAGATGGATATCTCATTTTGCCTTTAAAAAATAGTAATGCCATTGCTAGGAATTTAAATATTAGAAAAAATATAGAAATGCAACTTACATTTGCACTTATATATTTAATGATTCTGGTTGATGATGTTTAATATTGAAAATCTGTTCAATTCTCAATGTAATCTTAGAGCACACTATAGAAACAGTATGTGTCCAGCATTTATTACTCATGGGAAGAGAACAGTAGAATGAATTATTGTTTTATTTGGACCCATAAAAATTTGTTGGATTGCTTTGGGATTTCTTCAAGATCAGATGGTTCTTTTAACTGAGTCAGCAATTATTTCTGGGTGCCAAGATGGCCTACGTGGGAGGGATATTGGAAAATGTGGCTTCCTGCATTCATGGTAAGTGGCAATAATATTATCTAAGGCAGTGATTTGCAATCCTAATTAAAAATAAATTTACTTTGTCACAAAATATAAGTGAAACAAAAGTTTCAGAAAATAATACTCCTAATGTGTGCTTTACCCTATTTTGTTGTTTTATCCTATTAACTTTAAAAAAAAATTTTAGTCACAACCCACTTAGTTCCTTAATGACCTGCTGATGAATGGCAGCCTGTAGTTTAAGAAAACTTAAGTAGGAGTTGAGGCAAGATGGCAGACCAAAAGGATCGTTCAGCTGACCTCTTCCTGGGGAAAAAGAGAGAACCCAGCCATATATGGCGCAAGGACCTGAGCACTCCACTGTGCTCAGGAAGCACAGTGAGGAAGTGGTGAGCTGGATATAGCATATGATCCAGAGTGGTGGAAATCTGATGAATTAGGCAAGTGATGGTAACCAGCGAGGGTCAGCTGTGTCCCCACAAAGGTCCAGGATGGGAGGAAGCCTTTCCAGAGTTTTCAGTTTTGGGGAGAAGCTACATATTATGTGGAGTGCTTGGAAGAGTGGACAGACTAGAACAGTACACAGCAACCAGATTTGAATGTAGGTTGGAATGGATTTGTGATAGGTTAAGTGGCTGGCAACGCAGCTATACTGAGAAGGTCTAGGTGGCCAGCTGGTCACCCATTGTGGGAAGGTCATGGGAAGGTCATGAGAAGGTCTTAGCAGGAGCCTAAAGCACGGCCATCTTCATTTCACCTACCAGGATCAGAACTCCACTCTTGGGACAGGCTAAGGGACTCCTGCAGCCCATGGAAACTGGAGTCAGGAAGCAAGTGAAACTGGCCCCTTAAGGATTCTTGTGAGCTTTAAGATTCTAACCTGCAGGGTCTGAATGCTGGAGAAACAATGAGGGGATCACCAAAGGCAACTAAGTTTGGAATAAGGACCACAGAGGTTGCTGGCTGTGCTCTCTGTCTCTTTAAAAAACCACAGCACCACCAGGTGTCCTGGCGACATATTGCAACATACTGTCATTAAGAGCAAGGACTTCTGTTTGCAACAAAGGAAGCAGTGAGAAGGAAAAAGGAGGATCGGCCCAGCACTGTAATCCTTGTACTCTAGGAGGCTGAGGCAGGTGAATTGCTTGAGCTCATGGGTTCAAGACCATCCTGAGCAAGATTCCATCTCTACTAAAAATAGAAAAAACTGAGGCAAGAGTATCACTTGAGTCCAAGAGTTGGAAGTTGCTGTGAGCTATGATAATGCCATGGCACTCTACCCAGGATGACAGCTTGAGACTTTGTCTAAAAAAAAAAGGAAAAGGAGAAAAAGGACAAAGAGGTAAATAAGAAGAAAGAACACATGAGGAAGAACCAACAGAAACATTTGGGCAACATGGAAAACTGAAACAGAGGAATCCCCCCAAGGGACCATGATGCAGCTACTGCAGAGGACTCCACCATAAAGAATTAATGGACTTGACAGAAAGGGAATTTGAAATATGGTTGATAAAGACAATAAAAGGAATAGACGAGAAAATGGAAAGAACCCAAAGTTGGGCGAGATATATGTAGAATATAGAAAGAATATGGTGGTGCTTAAGGAAATGAAGGAGACAATCAGGGAATGCAAAGATGCAGTGGAAAGTATCAAAAATAGGTTAGACCATGGAGAAGAAAGAACCTAAGAGCTAGCAGATAAAATTTTTTAGTTAACCCAGGTAGTTAAAAAGGTAGAAAAGGAGAGAGAAAAAGCAGAACAGGCCCTTAAGAGAACTTTGAGACTCCATGAAACATTCAAACATATGAATAATAGGGATTCCTGAAGGGAAAGAAGATTATCCCAGGGAATGGAAGCCCTACTTAAGACTATCATAAGTCAAAACTTCCCAAGTTTTACTAAAGACCCAGATACACCCCTTTCAGATGGATATTGAATCTTGAGTCATCTAAACTCAAGCCTGCCAAGACACATTGTAATGAACTTATTCAAAGTCAAGATGAAAGAAAAAAATTCTGTAAGCACCCAGTAGTAAGCGCTAACTGACCTACAGAGGCAGAATGATTAGGATGACAGCAGGCTTTTCAACTGAAACCTTCCTAGCCAGAAGAACATTATTATCTACCTTCAACATTCTTAAAACAATTTTTACCCCAGAATTGTATATTCTGCTAACCTTCAAAATTGATAGAGAAATCAAATCTTTTGTAGATATACAAGCAATGAGGAAATTTGCCACAACAAGACCAGCTCTACAGAACATGCTTAGACCTATTTTCAACACTGACCACCCCAATGAACCACCAGCAAAGTAAATACCCAGAAGCTAAAGGTCAAAACTTAGCTTCCACAGTGGCACAGAGGATAAAACCACATAATGGACTTTCTCAAAATAAGATGAATAGAACTCCACCACACTTATCAGTTCTCTAAATGAATGTCACTGGACTGAATTCACCACTGAAGAGGCACAAGCTGGCTGATTGGATAAAAAAAAGTACAGCCATCCATATGCTATCTCCAGGAGACATACCTAGCCTTGAAATCAAGACTCAGGGTTAAGGGATGGAAAACAGTATTTTGAGCAAATGGAATTCAGAAGAAAGGAATGGTTGCAATCTTATTTTCAGATACAATCAGATTTAAAGCAATTAAAGTTAAGAAAGACAAAATGGACACTGTATACTATAGGCAAAATACCTATATGCCTCTGGCCAAAAAAGCCATATGAGAGAGAGCAGTGAAAAGACTTTGTGCAGGCATACTTGTAAGAAACTGAGGCAGAATCCCATGTGGCCAGGTTGGTTGTGAGCCTAACATGACCAAGGCTTCGGCTGGAATAGCATTTACTGCGTTAAGGAACTAAAGTTGACTTTATAAAGCCAGTAAGAAAGCCCTTTGGAAAACTGGCCAGATATCCATCAGTAACTTTTCTGATTTGTGGTAAGTGATGGAGGTCATTTGCTGATGGGTCCGAGAATGGAAATGTGCTCGGGGACCTCAAGAGAAGAGGAATCTACCCAATGCATGATCTAATGGCACAGATGAAACTTGGGCTTGTGAAACGCTTTTGAGAAGTCCAGCCTGAAAATTTCTTATGAAAGCTTCCAGCAAAAAAGGCCTACACGGGAGCAGAGGTTTGCACACAAATTTCTGTATGCCCAAGAAGTTTCTTTATGCCTTGTTTAAAGATCCAAAGTAACAGCCTCCAAACGTCAAGGCAGCAAGGGCAGGTATTCAATCTACCTCCATAGCCTTAGGCATCATCAGATAAGAACAAAAAAGTAATGGCTAACAGCATGTTCTCCATTAAGTTATGTTAAATTGGATTATGTTGAAAGGATTATGTCAAAAGATGTATGTTGAGTGGATTATCAGAAGCTAATCACAAGGTGGTCACATGATATTTAAATGGATCAATGAGGTCATTGCTGTTTGGTGTGCATGTACAAAATTCCCTATATAAACCAATCGCAAATAAAGAAGTTTGCCATTTTGTCTGAGCGAGCAGATGGTCACCTTTATTTAAAACACCATTTCAATAAGTGTGCTTATTCTCCGTGACATTGCTTTTCCGCGAGACCCTTAGGGCAACAGTATACTGGTCAAAGGAACAATACAACAAGATAACATTTCAATTTTAAATATTTATGCACCCAACTTAAATGCTTTCAGATTTATGAAACAGACTTTGATGAGTCTAAGCAATATGATATCCTATAGCACCATAATAGCTAGGGACTTTAATACCCCTCTGATGGAACTGGACAGAGCCTCTAAACAGAATGTAAACAAAGATACAAAGAACTTAAATGTCACCCTAAAACAAATGGGATTAATAGACATACAGAACACACCATCCCAAAGCTAAAGGAATATACATTTTTCTCATCAGCCTATGGTATGCACTCCAAATGGACCACATCCTAGGATACAAATCAAACCTCAGCAAAATTAAAAGAATAGAAGTTACACCTTGTATCGTCTCAGACCACAAGCAATAAAGGTGGAACTCAACTCCAACAAAAATGATCATTCCCACACAAAGACTTGGAAATTAAACAACCTTATGCTGAATGATAGTTAGGTTCAGTAAGAGATAAAAGGAAATTGTGAAATTCCTCAAACATAACAATGAAAACGCAAGTTACTAAAACCTGTGGGATACAGGTTTATTGCATTAGATGCCTACATTAGAAAAACAGAAAAAGAGCAGATCAACAAACTCATGAACCATCTTATGGAATTGGAAAAAGAAGAACAATCTAATCCCAAACCCAGCAGAAGAAAAGAAATAACCAAAATTAAATCAGAGATGAATGAAATTGAAAACAAAAGAATCATTCAGAAAACAAACAAAACAAAAAGTTGATTTTTCAAAAAAATAAATAAAATCAATAAACCTTTGGCCAGATTAACTAGAAACAGAAAAGTAAAATCTCTAATAACCTCAATCAGAAACAATAAAGGGGAAATAATAACAGAAGCCACAGAGATACAAGAGATTATTTCTGAGTACTATACGAAACTCTATGCCCAGAAATTTGACAATTGGAGGATATAGATCAATATTTGGCTATAACCATTTATAACTCCAATTAAGGCATTTTCAATTTTCCCATTTCTTTCCAGACTCCCTCTCCCCTTCCACGGACCTCAGAAAGCCATATAGCCTTGCTTTGTTTACAGCAGGGGTCCTCAAACTTTTTAAACAGGGGGCCAGTTCATTGTCCCTCAGACCATTGGAGCGCCAGACTGCGGGCCCTGGGACAAGTCAGCTGCTAAGCAGCATAGGCACTGGTGGCAAAAACACCTGGTGGGCAGGATAAATGTCTTCAGCTGGCCACATGTGGCCTGTGGGCCAGATTTTGAGGACGCCTGGTTTACAGAGTAGGGGAAGAAGGAATGTTGTAGATTGAAATGTAGCATTTAGCATATTTCTTTAACTTCTATGTTATTTATCTTTCTGGTAGTGGTATTTCTGAAAATAAAGAACTGTGTTTATGGGACAGATGCACAAACTCAGTACAAGAATATTTTATTCCACAGGAATAAATGTGAAATGTGATGGGTATATGAGTTCTCAAGAGTGTTTACAATCTACATCTACATCCATTATACCATGTTTTTGCTTTAATGCTGCTTTTTATTTCTTAGCATTTTCTCTAATATTTTTCAGATTTTTAAAAATGAATGGCATAACACGGATGCTATTTGGTTTTTTAAAAAATATTTTATTACATCTGCTCTTTGTCTCATGATTACTGATTGGGGGCAGCTTTTTATTAAACACTAAACTTATTACCACCACTTAATGAAGACCTGGATGATATTATTATATGATATAAAAATATTTTGTAAATAACCATAAATGTACCAGGTAACAACACAGTATACATTGTCACTTGCAAAAGACACAAGGCTCATAAATTTTATGGTAATTGACATGAATCTAGGGACAGATGGCTGATATTTTTGTTTGCCAATCCATGTGGTAGTTTTAAAAATTTTGTTTTTGATTATTTTATTAATTTGAGCAGCCAAAATTATTTCAGGTTTTCCACAAACTTTTTATATTGAATTATTTCAAATTTCCAAAATCAAAATTAATAAAAATGTATCTACTGTAGTTTGAAAACCTCAATTAGAGAAAATAATAGTTACATTTACCTAGAAATTGTTCAATATTTATGAAGATGTTATTATATTAGAAGAATTTATTTCCATAGCTAGACAGACTGTCAAGATGTTGGAATTGTGACAAGATGGAATATTTTACTTGTTTGCACAGTTTTAAGCCATTTGATCTAGGTGTCCATCCAAACCTGTTACTTATAAGGGCCTGTGAGTCAGTAGGTGGCATACTTCACCATCAGATCAATGTTTTGCAAGCTAAACATGTGAAATGCTGTTGGAACTGCCCTGTGGGTGAACTGAGGTGCTGCCCTATAAAGACCAATCCTAAGTACTTAGGCTAGTCTTGTCTCGGGTTACCAAGTCTGGGTTGAATAAAGGCTTCTGCTCCTACAGATACTGGTCTATTATGGGAAGACATTCTTGCACCCTGTGTGAAAGAGTATGGTTTTTGGTATCAGACAAAATGATTTTGAGGTTTAGCCTTTTCTCTTTCTAATTATGTACCATTGGGCAAGATACTTAATTTCCCTAAGCCTTAGTTTTTCTGTAAATTGGGGGTAATAGTACCAAGCCGAGGGTGTCACTCCAAGAACAACTATAAAGTGCTCACCATAGTCCCCATTGCAAAACTGGCATTCTATAATAATGCCTACTATTTTATTCATAGATACTCTTATGAATAAAGTCTGTGTGGTAGGCTGCATGTTGAAACTAATTTTAAGGGCAATTCTAGCTTAACTCCAGTGGTTCTCAACCTTTCTAATGCCATGAACATTTAATATAGTTAAAAGGGGTCACAACCCACAGGTTGAGAAATGCTGCCTTAGATGATCAATTTCTTTTGGTACCTTTTATATGTTTGGCGATGTATTTGGCTTTCATGAGGGGGGTTGAATGAGAGAATAGGACCTTACTGATGAGTTTGAAGCTAAAATTAAGACACAGGAAAGAAGTAGTGAACTGCTGAATATTATATTTGTGATGCTGGCTGTAACTAACTGAGTTAAGTTTAAGAGGGATAAATACATGTAAAATCCTGTACTTATTTTCAGAGAATCAGCTGTACACATGCATGTTATGGTTGACATATGACATAGCTCTGGTCAAGTGAAAAGAAAACAGGAGCTATGACTGAATGCCCAGTAGGGGTGGTGATTCAGCTGCAAGGAAACTAGCATATTCTGAAATTGTATTACAAGGATTTCAGTGTGCAAGCCAAGGACAATATCAGTCTCATTGTCACCTGTACTGGTGTTTACTCTGTTTTGAATTCTGTTCTTTTAAAAGAGATAATGACAAATAGGAGCACCAAGAGAGAAACAACCAGGATACTGTAGTATAAGGGATAGTGTTGCTATTTATCTTTGAGGTATGAGGCCTTCCAGTTTCAGTGTTTGGAAGTCTGTCATTGGGAACCCAATGCACTATCTAGAATGGGTGCTCAGTGAAAAGGTATTGAACAAATGAGAGGATAAGCTATGTAGAGTAGATCTAAAAGATATAAAAAATGAAAACTGTTTTGGTCAAAGTTATGCAGAGAATGATCATGGTTTACTGGGGAGGCTGATGTGTCCATACATAACCATAGTCTAAGGACTATAGAAACGCATTTTTCAGGGCAGCGCCTGCAGCTCAGTGGGTAGGGCGCCAGCCCCATATACTGAGGGTGGCGGATTCGAACCCAACCCCGGCCAAACTGCAACAAGAAAAAGCATTTTTCAGTTCAGGGAAGAAGGCGGGAGTGGGGAAGGGAATCCTTCTCTCTAGGGAATCAGAAAAGACCTACAAAAGGGAGGAAACTAAAAGTTAGTCCTTGAAGACATTTAAAACGTGGACATCCAGAAAGTATGATTTTAGAAGTAAATAAGAGGACATGGAAACATTTGAAGTCAGTGAACCACACAGGCAAGGGCTCAGAGGCAAGGAATATGTTCGGCTTTTCTATGAAGGAATAGAGTGCAGTTCACTTGGAGAGTAGGGAAAAATCCAATGATTCTCCTGCAATTTGTTTTGTAAGTTATTCAGAACAGCAGCCCAAAATTCAGTTAGCTCAATATGCAGGATCGTTGTATGATTAAGTGAATGTTTTAGAGAACATGTCATACAAGTTGACCAGGATTTTATGGAAAAAAATAGGGTATGTTTCTTTAACAAAAGGTCTTGCCTTGTGTATAGTTTAATAGTGTTTTTAATTCATTCTTAGGTAAACTTCATTAAAATTGAATTTCACGCAGGGTGTGGTGGCTCAGGCCCATAATCCTAGCACTCTGGGAGACTGAGGCAGGTGGATTGCCTGAGCTCAAGAGTTTAAGACCAGCCTGAGCTAGAGCAAGACCCCATCTCTTAAAAAGAAAAAAAAGGTAGTAGGCATTGTGGTGGGTGCCTGTAGTCCTGACTACTTAGGAGGCTGAGGCAAGAGGATCACTCAAGCCTGAGAGTTTGAGGTTGCTATGAGCTATGATGCCATAGCACTCAACCCCAGGCTGACAAAGTGAGACTCTGTCTCAAAGTAATAAAAAATAAAGATAAATAATAAAATAAAATATAAAATAATTTCCCTCAGCCCCATCTCTTTCTTAAAGCTCAGCCCACCTTTAGATAAACAGTGACCAATTAAGCCAACATGATGTGTTCCTGCCTGTCTAAACCAGATATGGTTGTGCTGGTCTTCATGGGTTAGAATGGTGCTTCTCAGATTTTAATATGCATGTGAAACCTCTGGAGATCTTATTAAAATTCAGAGTCTGGGTCAGAGATCTTAGGGTGGAGCCTGAAGTTGTTCTTTTCTAACAAGCTTACAGGTGAAGCTTTTGCTGCAGGTGTGTGGACCAGCCTTTGAATAGCAAGGGTTTAGAGACTATTTTATGGCCACTTTTTTCATTCTGAAGTTTGGCGCAAGATAGCTTGGCAACCCCTTGGAAGGTGGTACAGTTTGTTTGCCAACAATGATTTTAATTAGGCAAGGACATTTGGTTTATTGATTTATTACTGCACTTTCATTTATCTTTCAGTGGAGCAAAATTTTACTTTTTATACAAAGAATTTGTATCACTTTGAAAACATTTCAAAGGAAGTAATGTTTATTTTTGTAACACTTTTTATCGTAACTTCTCCATAATATCTGACTTTCCCAAATAGTGTGTGATTTGTAATCATTTTATAAGAACAATTTTTAATTTAATTTGGCTTGATACAATTATAGGGATTAGTTACTAAACTTTCCAGAAGGAAATTTTTGCAATCATTTATCTAATACATAAGGAAATACTTTATGTTGGAATCTCTAAAATAAGTGGTTTGTTTCTTTGAATGATTTTGTTAAAATGTCCAGAGAATGTTTTTCTAGATGGTCGCAGGAAAGCTACAGTTAACCCATTAGAGGTTACTTTATTTGGTCTTGAATATTTTTCAGTCTTCAGGATGTTCCTCATAAGTTGTAACTATTCCTATCAGTATTTAATATGCATTTCAATGAATGAGGAAGCATTAATTATTGCCATCTAGGAGCAAATTCCTTTAGGATTAGAACATAGTATGGGAACAGGTTTGGGAGTGGAGATGTATAGATGTAAGGGAAGATAGGGATGGAACACAGACAACAATGAAATTTACCTCCATAGTAATGATGCTTTTCTAAATGGAAGTTTGATATATTCCTTAACTTGGCTTTAACATTTAGCGGGAAGCTTTTTCTATTTTTCTTTCATTTTCAGCATTATAGCCTTTCTCTATTTTTTCTACAAGACTTGGGCAACTGATCCAGGCTTCACAAAGGCTTCTGAAGAAGAAAAGAAAGTGGTGAGCTTCTTTTGTTACTGATATTTTTCATAGAAGATCATATAAACTTCAGAAAGTCATAGGCTTATTATTTTTTGTCATAACTGCATGACATGTAGGATAATTAAATGAGCAAAGTTGAGATTTCTCCACTGTTACAATTTTTCATTTATGTATATGACAATTTTTGAAACTATTTTTATTTTCTATTAAAGTTATAAACCCATCAAGATTTTCTCAGATGTGATTCTGATTGGGAGATGATCTTCTACTTTCTTTTAACAACATTTAGATAATGATTCATTTAGCTTAAATTTCCCCACTTAATACTACACATGGAGGGTAACTAAGCAGGGACTTCTTGGGGAATTGGGTTTCTTCTCCTGATTAACTGAGGAGATGCCCCTTCTCTTCCTCAAACATGAAGTTGTCAGATGACAGAACATGTCTTCCTTTGCTTTTGAATGTTTAGAAGTTGGAAAGAGTGTTGTCTTTGTTACCTAAAGCCAGTGTTCCTGGAAGACCTAGCACTTTCAGCCCCTGGTGCTTGTAACCTTCAGTTTTGATGTATACTAGTGAATTTTGTTTCTTTTTTAAGGGGTGTGTGTGTATGTGTGTGTATACATATATATGCATATGTATTTCTCTCTAGTGGATTATAACTAGGAGATGATTGCCATTATGGAGAGAAAGTGGTATGCAGGACTGGTTGGGGTGGTGTAATTTCTATGCATTTTAATTTATTGGCTATTGGTTGAAAATACAGGCTTGAAGAGTCACATTATTTCATGCACAGAATGATTTGGTGGCAGGTATTCCAAATTGCTTTTCTAGCTTCTTCAGTTTACAGCAAGAACTGTGAGAATGGTTCATAACCATGCATAATACATTGCCCAATAAAATGCAATTATAAGGTCAAACTTCATGTCTTTCAGAATATCATCACCCTCGCAGAGACTGGCTGTCTGGACTTCAGAACATTTTGTACATCATGTCTTGTGAGTCTTTTCTATATATAGGTTTTTTTGTCCATAGTAAAAACAAATTCTTATAATACTACTCACGTCAGTACTTGTCAAATCTTCAGAGTGTATTTATACATCTTTGTTTTAACCAGTTCTTATTTTGTGTTACTGTTAGAATGGGTTTTTTGTTTTAAACATATGGAGAAATGATGTTTATAATCTCTCGGAGTTGCCTGTGGTTACATCTCTCTGTGAATTATCCTTAGTGTGTTTTGCTTGCTTTTCCCTGTCATGAAGCACATATTAGAACTCTCTTCAAGTCATAGGCTCATAATGACCCTAGAAGCCACTTAGTAAAACCTCTCATTCTCAATTGAGGAATTAAGGGAGAAATTAAATCCATCCAAAGTTATCATGGAGCTGGAAATGGAGCTTGGGTTACCTTTTTCTTATTATTTTGCTCTGTGGTATGGCCTTATTTCCCCTTAGCCACTGTAAATGGCCTCTAGAATTCAGATCACCCTTAAAGATGGCCTAATCAAGGTAGACATATGGAAGTAAATATGAATAAGGCACTCCCGAGCCTCTGTGTGAATTGATCGTCTATTTAGGATGGTTTGTGCTGATGTCGTTGTAACCTCAGGTTAAAATTTTGCTTGTGATTTGTTACTTCTTTGATACACTCGTTTTTGCTGAGGCCTTTTTAAATTGTCCACTTAGATAAGGAAGCCATTACGGTCACTTCACTGCCATGTGTGCAATGCCTGTGTGGCTCGGTATGATCAACACTGCCTGTGGACTGGACGGTGCGTAGGTGAGAGGTTTAGTTTTTAAGTTACTACTATGAAGCTAAGCATATGTTTAATTTTATGTGTGACTCCTAGAAAAAGTAGAAGAGCATCCAAGAGCTCCATTTTCAGTATTCCAATAACAATGAACCCATATATCTTTATCTCACTGCATTTAACATCGTGTTTTCACATACATTATCCTCTTTGGGTGCCACAGGCTTGTGATGTAGACAGGAGAGGTATTATCTCCATATTACAAGACACAACTAGTAATCTGTAAACATAGGTCTCCTGATTCCAGTGGGTATTGCTCCTTCTGTTGGGCTTTGCTGCTTCAAGAGAAGATGAAACCATGAGCATTTGCATTGAAACTCTCCCATCTTCAGTATCAAGAAAGAAGCATGTATAAGAGAAGGGCTTGGCTGCCTGGCCCTGTCTCCCTTTCTTCCCTTCTATACACTGTTCACAGGCTGCAGGTCATTGTTCTTTGCTGTGTCCAGTGTTCTGCAATATATATTGCTACTCCTCAGATATTCAGAGGTTGAACTTTTTTATAAACACAATACATAGAGGAAAGAAAGAGATAGGGTAGGATTTGTCCAAAATCCTGCCTGTTCCCCTCCCTTCATCACAGGATAGGCCAGCCTCGAGCTATGTTTGCTTAATTATTTTTTTTCCTTTCGAAAAAAAAAAGTATCTTAAAAGATAAGTAAGTAATGAATGAATGGACAGTTAACTATTACATATCAGAACTGTTTGATTTGGTTTAATGGCATTTAAAAGCAAAGTAAGCATTATCCCCATTTTATTGAAGGCTTTTAACAGTCAGGAGGTCTTATCTGAAAAATCATAATAAAAGAAAGTATTAAGTATTTTTTTTCCTTTTTGATTTAGGTTTTGGAAACCATCGCTATTACATACTCTTTTTGTTTTTCCTTTCTATGGTATGTGTCTGGATTATATATGGATCTTTCATCTGTAAGTATAATTTTTTTCTTACAACACACCCACTTTACTCTTTCCTTGTGAACCCTTGTGTATGACATTTAAGCCAGGTGACAATATACCATACCCCCAATAAAAATTAAGTGGTTTCCTCTTAGATTGTCTCTCTCAGCAATGGGAAGCTGTAAGCCATGCTAGATGACGTTATTTCTCAGTACTTTGTGAGGGAACCTTGATAAATTTGAGAAGTGGTCAAAAATAGAAATGCATTTAAGGCAAGTGCAGATTTCTACCCCAGTGAAGAGAAAAAGTCAGCTGCTCAAGTTTAAAGTAGGAGGTGTTAGGTAAACAAAACGGCGAAGTCGTTGGCAGAGAGCTTGGGCAGTGATGGTCACAAAAGCTTAGCAAAAAAGCTCTGAAAGCACATGCCATGTGATAAGTATCAAGTTACAACTAAGAACTGATTGGAAAACTAACAGTTGAAAGGTTGGAAATAATAGCTTGAAAGAGAACATTAGATCACTTATTCTTCAGTTCTGAAAAAGGATAGCAGTTTAAAAGAGTCTCTTGTAGGTAGTGACAGCCAGCTGCTCAGATGTGATTGACTAAGAAGAGCAGGGTTTAAATTAAAATAAGAAAAGATTTTGGTTAACTCTTAAAAATTGCATGATTGCTTTTCAGGCCTTGAAAGAGGTTACCAAACTGGAAAAACCTATAGTGCTTGTAGTTTAGTATTTATTTGGACTTTGTTTAATGTTTATTATTTATCTTGAAGGCTTTGGGAGAATTTGGCTGTGGATGCAGAGGCTTCACTTTTAATGTGTTTCCATCCATCTTCCTATTTTATTTACATTCAAGTCTTAGGCTTTACAAGTAGAGCTCCAATTTGTTGGTTGAGCTAAAATCTGTAGTAATTCAGAAAGATGTTAAGAAAGATTATTCTTTTAGCATCCCAATCCCCACCACTCACACGTTCTCGCTCTTTCTCTCTTTCTTGCTTTCTTTATTTTAAATTTTGTTTAGTTTTTGAAAGATAATTTTTCTACACTTATCTCCCAGCCTCCCAGTTGCCCTACCTAGAAACATGCAGTACTATAAATTTTGTTTTGTTTGATGTTTCATTTCTAGAGATTATTAGTATTTATGTGTAATAGGTTATTTTTTGCCTTGTTGTAGGGATGGCTAGGACATCAGTTATCTTGTCAGAGCCTTTCCCTCCTGACACTTTGGGTGTCTCTGCTCACTAGGGATTACTTTTTAACAAAATATATTTACCTTCACCAACTTGAATAGGTCTAATAGTGAAACGACTGTGATCCCTAAGTTCAATTCTTATCAAAGGCTACCAGTAACCTTGAGCATTAGACTTGTAAAACAGCTCTTAGATTATGCCTTGTGGTATAAGAAATAGAAGATTTTTTTTGATAGTGCTTTTTTGTTTTGAGAAAGCTGCCTTTTTAAGGCCTGACAGTGAAGCATATTCCTGGAAAACCTTTCTAGGTTAGCCCATGGACCAACTTGTCTCTTGGCCTAGATCCTCGGGGAGTGGAGCCAGACTTTACTGTTCTTGTTTCTCTTCTCTCTACTCACTAAAAATAGTCACCTTTGTTTGGTGTCTGTGTCTAGCATAAGACCATATTGATAAGGACAGAAACAATTTTCCATCACAGTATTTCTAACTTAGTTTTTTATCACACCAATTGATTCTTCTCTGTTGTCTTTTTTTTTCGGATTGCAAACCAATTTTAGTTATATTTTGTTTCTTTGGAACAGCCCCACATTACCTTCACTTACAACTGTGTAAACTAGCTGAGCATATTTTGTTACTTTTATTCAACTTATATTCTAGCACTATTTCTCTCTCTCTTTTTTTTTTTTTTTTTTGGAGACAGAGTCTCAAGCTATCACTCTAGGTAGAGTGCTGTGGCATCACAGCCCACAGCAACCTCAAACACTTGGACTTACGTGATTCTCTTGCCTCAGCCTCCAAAGTAGCTGGGACTACAGGCACCCACCACAATGCCCGGGTATTTTATTCTTGTTGCAGTTGTCATTGTTGTTTTAGCTGGCCCAGACCAGGTTTGAACCCACCATCCTTGGTGTATGTGGTGGACGTCCTACTCACTGAGCTATGGGTACTGCTCCTAGCAATATTTCTTTATATTGAGTGAGGGCATTCTGTCATTTATCATTATTTCATAGACAAGAAACATGAACTTGTCCTCCCTATCTCTAATGAGGCGTCATTCTCATCCCACCTCCTTCGTTTACCATTAACACTTCTATTGCTAGAGCTCTGCTGTATACCCTCCTCATTGATCAGTTAGCTTCTACTTCTATATTGCCTCCATCCATTTCATCTTTTGTGAGGTCTGTTTTCAAGGTGGATAGTAAGTGACTCAAAAACTGTCAATATCCTACAGGTTACAGGAAGAAAGATTTTAGATCAATATCAGGAAGAACTTTGTCAGAGCTATCTAAAGATGAAAACAATTGACTGGAGACCACATGAGTTCCCTGTCTTTAGCCATTGGTGGCCTGATAAGAATGTATTATTAGCACAAATTAAAGTGTTATGCATAAAATAATGTGCATGACAATTTGCAGTCATATCTCTGATGTTAAATCTGTAGTTAGCACTATGAAAACTTGAGTGTAAGATCTTATTGTGTGATCATAAGAATTCCCAGAAAGGAGTAGTATAAATCCATAAGCTGAAAGAAAGTAGGGTTGTTGTTGTTGTTTTCCTCTCAAAAGCTGTTTTCTCCACCAGCTGTTGGAAAATATATTATGTTTTGTGATAGTGTATCAAGTGCATGGGATGTGTCTTTCTTTGCTGTCCTAATGAGAAACTCTACAGAGAGAGTAATTTGCCTTAACTTGTTACCTTGATAGTTACTTTAAAATGATTGCTCTTAGCTTGTATCTGGCATATGTTCATGAAAGATGGTTAGGAATCAAATAAGACTCAAAGAGGAAAAAAATAGAATTGTAGGGCTTAAATGGACAGACAGTTGACAGTAAAGTTATGGACTCATTTTCTTACTGTCCCAGTAGCTCTTCAGAGCTACTTTGAGAGAATGTCTAAAACTACTTATCAAATTGTCAGAGGCATTTATGAAATCTCAAGATGCAAATCTACAGCATTCACATTTCAAAAATAATTCCCTCTTTATGCACAGTCACAGTGCCTAAAAAAGTCATTTAACTAGGAAACCTGGAAGATGTCTTTGCTTGTTTCTGCTGCGGCCTGCCCCCATATTTCCTTTTATTGCTGCTTTTAGCTACATGCATTAGAGGGTGATATCATGAAGGCTGTGTCGAAGTCCTCTCTTTTAATTGGCATATAGATGTTCCTGAGGGAGAAACTGAGTTGTGACCATCTTTGAATCTTGCTCTGTATTCTTTCTTTGGAATTACCGGTCTCATGAAGTTCTTTACCTGGACTTTCTTCCTCCGCAGGATTAATTGTTGTGCCAATGCAGAACTACACTCATGCCCAGCTGCCTGCATGCTATTAGGTTATGTTCTCATGGTATCTAGGTGTTCACAGCAATGGCCTGTTTATCTAAACCCTTATACGAATTTATATTCAATCCTGTAACATACCCATAACTTGCTATAACCTGGATAAGATAGAGAATTTTCTATACAAATATTTATTAGATCTCAACTGTCAAGTCCTTGAAAAATTAACTCCTAGCTGAGGCATTTAATGCTACATATGCTGATGTAGTATTATAACAGCCTTAATTAACATGGAGGCATGATTTTTTTCACCTTTGGTAGTTGAGTTGGCATTAGGAAGTTAAGATATTAAAGTTGCATTCTAATCTATGCTGTTATGTCCTGCTTTCTCTTCTCCCTAAATAGAACTACAGTGATTTTATCTTCTTGGAGAATGATCACTAATTTGTTGCCTTTTCTAATGAGCTCCCTTTTTTTATTCACAGATTGGTCAAATCATTGTACCACAACATTCAAAAAAGATGGACTATGGACTTACCTCACTCAGATCGTGGCCTGTTCCCCTTGGGTTTTGTATATCTTCATGCTAGCTGTTTTCCATTTCTCCTGGTCAACATTTTTATTATTAAATCAACTCTTTCAGGTATTTTATTTCTCTTATAATGCCTTTGAGTAACTATAGTGACACAGAAAGATTTAATTAAAAATCAGAAGATGTAGATTATAGTTTCATATCTGTCACTTTCATGTCTGTTGATCTAGACGTGTCATTTTAACACTCTTATATTTCAGTTTCCTTGCATATAAAATGAAGAGAGTAATGCCTGTGGACTTTCACAAAATAGTTTAAAAGTTAGAATAATAAATCATTAGAGCCAGACCTAGGTGTTATCTTATCTAACCCCTTTATTTATTTATTTTTTTATTGAATGGTAACTGTGTACATTAATGCACTTCTGGGGTACAGTGTGGTGTTTTCACACACAATCTGAAACACTTCCATCAAGCTGGTTAACATAGCCTTCATGTCATTTTCTTAGTTATTGTGTTAAAACGTTCATATTCTACTCTTAGAAAGATTCACTTGTACCCTTGTAAGATAAACCACAGAAGTGATCCCTCCAGTCCCCCTCCCTCCCCCCATTCCTCCCTCCCCCCTCCCTGACCCCTTTATTTTGCAAATAAAAATACAGAGAGGTGAATTAAATTATTGAAGGTCACCTAGTACATGTGAGAATCAGAACTAGAAACTTAGGTCCTCTGACAGTTCCATTTAAGGTTTTTTTTCCATCATACAAATAAATTATATGGTGTGTACAAGCATGGTATAACTATAAAGTATGTGTAGATATGAGATGATTGTTTCCCCAGGTTTTTACATCCCTTACTTGTTATTATGCAGTGCTTAGTGAATAGGAGTGGGAAGAAATGAAAGATAAAGCATTACTCGATGGACATGGTAATTACATTTTCAGAGACAGCAATGGCTATTAGTAAGTTCAAGCTCAGGCGGCACCTGTGGCTCAGTGAGTAGGGCGCCAGCCCCATATGCTGAGGGTGGCAGGTTCAAACCCGGCCCTAGCCTGACCTGCAACAACAACAAAAAAAATAGCCAGGCGTTATGGCAGGCGCCTGTAGTCTCAGCTATTCGGGAGGCTGAGGTAAGAGAAAGCCCTAAGCCCAAGAGCTGGAGGTTGCTGTGAACAGTGTGATGCCACAGCACTCTACTGAGGGCAATAAAGTGAGACTCTGTCTCTACAAAAAAACATAAATAAATGTTTATGAAGCTTTGAAGAAAGCGGAAGGTGACTATTGCCCTGGAACTTGAACTTTATTAATAAATAAAAGCAAGTTCAAGATCCAGGCAATAGTCACCTCCGCTTTCTCCAAAGCTTCTGTCCCTTCCCTGCTACCTTCCTTTCCTTATGAGCCTAACCTGATTTTCATGGTTGCCATCCCCTGCTCATAAGGAACGGAAAGGCAGGTGGTGATCATCTGTCTGAGTCAATTACTACAGGACCTCAGATAATTAGAGCATTATTCAACCAAAGCAAAATGTATTCTACTTTTATGGGGAAGTAGCCAATTTCAAAATAATAATGATAATAATAAAAGAGAAAGAGGGGAGGAAAAAGAAAAAAATGTTAAGGAAATGAATTGAATTAATAATATCGACTAAACTGAGATTTTTGAACATTCATCTTAATCTCCTATCCCCCTGACATCAATAGACTTAGGCAGCAAAAAAATGGATATTACCATTAGTGATAATTAATGTTATCATTTATAATGCTTATTATTTATTTATGTTTTATTTATTGTTCAAAGCATTTCTCCTTATATTTACTTACAAGCATTTGAGGTCTAGACCATGCTAAAGTAGTGTTCCTATTTTATGGAAGAGAAAACTAAACCTAAGAGATGTTGAATGCCTTGCTTATAATTGTAGGCTGAATAAGAGATGGAGTAAAAATTACACATGAAGATTTGAGATATCAATCCTAATTCTCTTTTTTCTGGACTCTTAGGGCAATATCCTTGATTTTTGTTGATATATTTTTCTGTACTTTCTAAGTATAAAAAGAAGAAGAGGACTTAAAGTTTCAAATAATATTCAAACACAAGAATTTAGAATAAAATTGTTTCTTCATGAACAAAACAGTTCAGTTCCTTGAAAACCTCCATCTCCTGAGTGCTCTGGTTAGTCGTGGGTTAGACCTCAAGAAGTCAGTAGCACAGGTTGCTTCTCACACTGACCAGGGTGTCAGTCCCAGCTCTGCTGTGTGGCCTTGAGCTGGTTACTTCTCCTCTAAGCCTCTGCATAACGTATTGTAAATATATTTTCTAAAGTCCTTCAAACAATAGGATGAGGATAGTGTGGTAAACTCGATTTGACAGATAAGGGACTTGTTATTTCAGTTGTTTTAAGGATTAAATGAGAAAGTACTCATGAATAGTACTTCAATGATTCAGGAAGTTTTAAATCACCTTAATTCATACTCTTCCCCAAATTTATGGATTTAAATGTTTTTCACTTCTGGTTATTAACTTTTTTTTTGGCCCTTTTCAAAAAGATACTAACAAGATAATAGGGTGAAGTAATTTGCACTGATACTTAGATTGTTTTATTCATCTAAAAGTTCCACACTGAATATGTTGAGGATATAAATGTGACCATAAGCCATGACTTAAATTAATGAAACAATTATTTCATAACTCTAACTCAGTGCACAATGCTTTTTTTTTCAATTAAATCATAGCAGTATACATTAATACCATTATGGGGTACAGTGTACTATTTCCACATACAATTTGAAAGACCTTCATCCAACTGGTTAACATAGCCTTCATGTCTTTTTCTTAGTTATTGTGTTAAGACATTTATATTTTACATTTAGAGAGATTCACATGTACCCTTATAGGATGAACCATAGGCGTGATCCCACCAATCACCCTCCCTCCACCCACCCTCCCTCTCCCCTCCCCTCCCTCTCCCCTCTCCCAATATTCCTGGGCTAAAATTGGGTTATAAAAGTATCCAATGTATACAATGCTTTTTTTGAAGTAAATTAGAGACAATAAAAAAATGCCCTGCTATTAGATTTGCATAGGAGAGTATAGTTTAAGGTTGTTGAGTCTCTGCCCTCACCATGGTCATGCTCCTTGGTGAGAAGGCTAGAGGGTGTTATCCTTGGGGGAGTACTAATGTCTGCCTACGTCCTGTGATGGAGTCATTATGTAGTATTTTTCATGTATCTTCCAACCTTCTTTTTCAGATTGCTTTTCTGGGCCTGACCTCCCATGAGAGAATCAGTTTGCTGAAACAGAGCAGGCACATGAAACAGACACTGTCCCTCAGAAAGACACCATACAAGTAAGCAAGATCTATTCTGGCCCCAAGTCCTGTGGAAGAATCTTAGCCACTAGTTTCCCAACCTTGTGCCACTCCTGTGGCCATGCTGCTATTCTCTAACTTGATACCTGGTGGAGTTGAACCCCTCTCTCTTAGAAGCCTCACTGATGGCATGAGCAGGGTGGTCTTGAGCCCCAAGGTGATAAGAATTTGAGATTTAGTTGACTGGACTCAGCATGAGTAATAAGTGACTTTGAAGTTTTGCCAAGATGGGGAATCTCTCCACTTAAGCCCCATGGTCACAAGGTTTCATATTGCTGGCATGGAGTCACTGTGAGATAATTAAGCACGTGGCTGAGAAAGTCAGCCACAGGGCTCTCTGTAGAAAGTGTTGGATTATGTGCTTTGCCAAGATTTTCACCCCCGGCCTTCTTTCACCAGTAATTCTTTTAGCTCTGTGTTTATTGTGCCACCTGTGTCAGTGAAAAGCCAATTTTTTAGGTTTGAGACATGTTTCCCCTGGAACATTAGTTGTAAAAAACGTGTTCTTTTGAAAATGAGGGTGTTTGTAGGAAGGTCATCATCTTATGATATGAAAGATCAGTCTTTGAAGCTTATCTCCCTGCCACCTATATCAAGGTCTTGGAGGCTGAGAGTGCTGCAGAGGTGACCCAGAGCCCTCTAGGGATTTGAATGTTCACTGCATATCTCACAAGTAGTCTATTTTAAAGCATACTCCTGGTACAAGATGAAACTGTTAGGCTGTTAGACAAGGGAGTTAGAGACTGGACTATGATTACAGTGTGTATTTGGAGGAAAGAAATTTACTTACTTGGGAAGAGATAGCTAAAGCAATGGGAGTGGTGAGCAGTGTAAAGCCTGTGATAATTGTTTCACACTGGCAGTGATAATAAAGTCCCCTTCTCATCTGCTCAACAAGAAGAATAAATATTTACCCTATAATATATAGAAGCTTTGGGGTGGAGGTGAAATTTGAAGCTGAGCAATGAGAGATGTTGGGCAGGACATGATGGAGAAGAGGGAAAAGACATTCAAAGCCCTGGAGAAGAGTCTGATAGAGGGATAGGTGTGAGAGCTGGAGCACATATTTGCTCAGTAATGGGAACATAAAGTAGAAAAACTGAAAGTAAAATCCTAGAGCTGCTTTGAATCTAGTTTCCAAAATCCTATCCAAACTAAAGATTTCATTTGTTTGTCCTCTTCTTAAGTTACTTCCACTCACTATAGTGGTCTCCCTTTATCCATGGGAGATGTATATCAAGTCCCCCAGCAGATGAAACCATAGGTAGTATTAAACCATATACACACCCGTATGCTATGTTTTTCAGTCTCATAACTGAAATGGTTACTGGGTTGGTAGCACAGACTGTGTGGCTATACTGGACAAAGGGATAATTCATGTCCTGAGCAGATAGAGCTGGATGGCTTGAGATTTCATTATGCCACTCACAATGGCATGCACTTTTAAAGTTTATGAATTTATTTATTTCTGGAATTTTTCATTTAATATTTTCAGACCACAGTTGACCATAGGTAGTTGAAACTGAAACCTTGGATAATGGGTGATCACTATAGCTCTTGAGCCGAACCCTATATATTCCCAGGGCATCTATGACTGCCACCCCATCAATTCCGTATAGTCAGTACTCTTCCTGAGAAAGCTGCTTCTGAGTAGCATTGGTCTTTTACTGACAACAATACCATTATCCTCCATGCATAACACAGTCATCCAAATAGCAGCACAGTCATCCCCGTGCACATTTGTGTTTTGGTGTGTGCTAAACACTTAAAAGACAGGGAATGTGTGTAAAAATTGGTATTTCCCCTAAGAGGAATAGATGGCAATACTTCAGCAATTTAATGGAGAAAAATATGATACTGAAGACAGTTATGATCAGGGAGGGTCCAGTGGGAATGTGGACATTGACCTGGGCCTTAAGAACTGGTAAGACTTAAATTGCTAAGAGTGTTACTTGAGGTAGGGGTGGAGGTTCCCCCCAGGTGGGTTCCAGACACATGCACTTATGATCATGGGAAAATAGAGCCAGAATAGCTGGAACTAGAGGTTTATAAGGATGAGTTTGGGGAGCTAGAATGTGAGTAGTACATTGTATAGTAGGGCATTGAATACAAAGATGTGGAATTTGGATTTAAGCCTCTGGGGAGAGAAGGAGCTTTAACGGGTTTTGACTGGAAGGTGACAAGCTATGAAAGGATCAGGGTTTTAGGAGGACAAGACAGTCTGCAATATGTAAGATGAGTTAGGAGGTATTGAGACAGGGATGTCATTTAGAGAGCTACTTAGAAAGTTAAGGGGCAAAAAACCATCTTGTTGAGTTTATGTGTTCTGACTTTTGTGACCTTTAAGATAATCAATGTCTAAATAAGGGCAGTGAGAATTAAAAGAAATAAATTATTTGAGGTAAGTAAAACCAGTGAGTGGGGGACCCAAAATGAAGTGCTGAAGAAAAACCCAATTAATTTGCTATACAGATTCCACGGAATCTCAAGACAGGGATATAGGCTCACAAAAGAAATTAGGCTTCAGTTTTTAAGTCTCAGAAACCCAGGAACTATAATATTTACTTCTGGATTTTTTCTACAGAATCTTCAAAGGACATTGTATATTATAGCTCCTCAACAAATGTGTGTGATATGAGTGAACATTTGTCAAGAACTACACAGGAAATGTAGTAAGATACGTTCTCTTTTCTTGGCAGCCTCGGATTCATCCAGAACCTGGCAGATTTCTTTCACTGTGGCTGCTTTGGCCTGGTGAAGCCCTGTGTGGTAGATTGGACATCACAGTACACCATGGTCTTTCACCCAGCCAAGGAGAAAGTTCTTCGCTCAGTATGAAGAAAAGTAACCCAAAACTCTCAATCTGATTTGTTTTTGTTCATGTTGATGCCCTGTGATCTGACAGTGAAGATTTAGAGTTCACCTAAGCCCAAAAGAAAACATCAGTGGTTTCTAAAGCCATTTGGTAAAAACAAAAGTTCTCAATAAAGGCATTACAGTTTTTTAGATTTAGAAGATGGACTATTCCTGTATAACTTGGCAGACATCTTAGAAAAAAAAACAAAAAATTTATATTTTTCATGGGAAAATGAAAGTTACCCTTTTTGGGAGATATGATTCACTAATTATGGATAAAATGGAGTATTTTCAGATATATTATTGGCTATTTCAAAATAGTGCTATTCTTTAAACTTGTAATTTTTGCTAAGTTATTTGTCTGTTTTATCTATAAATATGTAAAAAAAATTGAGTAACTGTACCTGTTTTACTTTCACACTTAATAAAATTTTTTTTTTATAGTTGAGATTTACTTTGTGATGCTTAACACCTCTAGAATTTTAAATTGAGAAAAGATATACCTAGGACATAGAGAAACTAGTTTATAATTATAGGAATGAATTGAGATTACTATTAGCAGTAATAAGCAAGATTTAACTTAATTTTCCATCTTACTTAAAAAATTAAACATAGAAATTCTTGAAGATTGGCTCAGCACCCATACCACAGTAGTTACGGTGCCAGCCACATACACTGAGGCTGGCAGGTTCAATCCCAGCCTGGGCCAGCTAAACAACAATGATAACTGCAACAAAAAATAGCTGGGCATTGTGGCAGGCACCTGTAGTTCCAGTTACCTGGGAGGCTGAGGCAAGAGAATTGCTTAAGTTTAAGAGTTGGAGGTTGCTGTGAGCTATAACACCATGGCACTCAGTGGTGACAAAAGTGAGACTGTCTCAAAAAAAGAAAAAAAAAGGAACTCTTGAAGATTAATATTTTTAATGCCCTCAAAGTAAACTGGTGTTCTGGAGAAAAATGTGTATAATATGTATATGCCCTTAGGCATGGCACCATTCTGCTAAAAAACCTTCAGTAGGTTCCCATTGCTTTGGGGGTAAAAGCTAAAATTCTTATCATGACCTACAAGGCCCTGAATAATATAACTCTGTTTTACTACCATCATGCTGGACCATGCTTAGTACTCTAATCACATTGACCTTTCAGTTCTTTAAGGATCCATTCTCCTTTCTCTGCAAAGCTTCTGCATATAAGGAGACTAAAGTCAAAAGAAGTTTGTACCTTCTCCAAGGTCACATAGATTCTAAGTGGGGTTGCTGCTCTAGAGTCTCAGCCACCTAAAATATTACCTGACACATGGTGTACACTCAGTAAGTACTTGAATTAATTTTTTAACAAATTAAAGTGTTTTTAAGCAAAATATGATGTGATCAAAATCATGTTTGAAGCTGATTCTGAATTGAGGAGCAAAAGGACTTTTTTAGGCTATGTCCTTTCTCAGTAACTCCTACCAAGTAAGTATTGTGGTCCAAATTGTCCAAACGTCATTTAGATTAAAAACACAAGGGCATGGTGGGGGTCCCGGGCTCACTTGTTAAAAAATTCATTCACTTTCCCTCTAGGCATTGGAATTATGATATCCCATCTTTTCTCTTTGTTTCCCCAGCCCCAGGAGTGGAGCTGCTTCCAGCAGTTACTATCTTTGTTAGGTCAGTGTGTTTCCTCTTTACTTTTCCAAAAATATCAGCATCCATTTAGCCAATTTCCTCTATTAAAGTATCTCTGTTAAAATAATTTGGTTTTTGTGTTTCTCACTGGACCTGACAGAAATTGAATGTTTAGAGATAAGCTGTTGCTGAGGGTCTAGGTAAGAAGTAATGAAGGCTTGAAACAGTGACACAGGAGAAACTCTGCAGGCCCTTATCACTGGCTGGATATGGGGGGAAAAGAGGACAAAGATGGGCTTTGTCCCTGGAGGTGGGGTTGGACCCAGTGAATGAGAGGGCAGCAATCCTATTCTGAAAAATAAGGAAAACATTGGGGGAGACTAGGTAAATGCATTTGGTGGTTGGAGCCTACTGAGTTTGAGATACTTGCAGTCTATCTAGTGGGAATGTCTGGAAGGCAGTTGCAAAGAGAGCAAGGCATGGATAGGAGTCATCTGAATAGATGACATGATTGTCACCAGAATCTAGTGACTCTGAGAGGAAGGGAGAAGGCATATCTTGGGACATAATGGTAAGCTTTAGTTTTTGTTTCATTTTAAGGCCAAGGTAAACCCAGTTGTCAGGGCCAGGGGAATGTGACTATTAAGCTAACTGCCGTAGCTTGATTCTTTTCTTCAAAGATCTTTATAGTCACAAAGTTGAAACAACAAATTTGAACATTCACAAATATTAAGCAAAATCTTGATGATACCCCCTGGGCCTTAGACAGGATGACACTGTCCCATAGCTGGTATATAATTAACATGATAACAATGACACTGAAGCTGTGAGAAGTAGAATGATTTGAATATAGCACATTTGATATTTCAGGTGTGTATTCGTGTAGGAAGTTAATGTGATGTTAAATATTCCCCTAATCCCAGTGGCTTAACACAGTATTACTTATTCCTTATGTTATGGTCCATTTGGCTGTTAAGAAGTGTCCTTCCATGAGGGGCCCAAACTCCTTTCCAGCAAGTGGCTCCACTATTTCCTAAGACCTTCTGCATCTAGAGATATGGAGAGAATGGAGGCTGACCTACAAGTTCATGGAAGCCAGTTCTCCACTGGCCACACCCAGTCACATATCCCACTCAATAGCAGGGGGGCCTGAGAAATAAGGTAAACAGTATTCCCAAGCAGCAGAAGAAACTCAACTGTCCCTGAACCACAGTGAGGTTCTGCCTTTGTTTTGTTTATTCCTTTCTAAGCTCCTACCGTCCAGTATGTAATAGTCCCTTATTTTAAATTCTGGCAGAATTTGCATTTAGTTTGGCTTATACTTCCATTTCATTCATTCAACAAATGTTTGTTAAGTGGCTACTATTTGTCCAGTCCTATGAATGTAAGCATGTCACATGCTAACAAAGAGGCAAATGGGAATTCAAAATTTCAATGCAATGAGATAGTGTGATACTAATTATATACCAGTTATGGTAGCACAGAGGTGGATTAATTCTGCCCAGGTAGTTGAGGAATGATTTGCAGAGGAGATGGCATTCAACCTGTGACTGACTTAATAGGAATTCATCAGGCTAAGAAGTTGGGTTAAGGGATAAGAATCAGGGGGTTCCATTTTCCACGAATTACAGGCAGAAGTAACAGCATGGGCAAAGTCATGCTGGGGTGAGGGTACAAGGCATATTTGGGAAGCTTCATGTCTTTTCAGTGTAGCTGGAACTTGAGTAGAAGAGATTATCTAAAGCTAAGCTGAGGGGGTAAGGCTGAGGCCAGCTTGTGAAAAATCCTTATATTATAAACTATTAATGGCTTGAATTGTATCTCGCCAAAATTCTTACATTGAAGTCCTATCCCCTAGTACCTCAGAATGTAATTACATTTGGAGAAAGGGCCTTTAAAGAGATAATTAAGTTTAAATGACATTATTTAAGGAATGATTGCTTCTGAAAGTATGTTCAGAGCCTTGTCCAAGACAGCACCTAAGCAGTCCCAAATATAAAGAAACCCTGTTAGGGTGGCTCACACCTGTAATCCACTCCCACCCAGGACCAAGGTAGGTGGATTGCCTGAGGCCAGGAATTTGAGACCAGTCTGAGCAAGAACAAGACCCCATCTCTACTAAAAATAGAAAAATTAGCTAGGCGTGTGACAGGCACCTGTAGTCCCCACCACTCAGGAGGCTGAGGCAGGAGGATTGCTTAAGCCCAGGAGTTTGAGGTTGCTGTGAGCTAGGCTGACACCATGGCACTCTAGCCTGGGCAACAGGGTAAGACTTTCTCAAAAAAAAAAAACAAAAAAAAAAATCCAACAAGCACAAACCTTTCTTGGGACTTGAAGCATAGAAAAACCTGTGGGTTATCCTGGTGTTTCCTAGTTTTTATCAATAGATTTTCATTTGCTTTCATTTACTCCAGGTAATTCAGAATTGCTTGGTGGTGGGAGAAATGCTGTGGTTATTAACAGAAGCCTGAGAAAATACAAGCACTTTAGCTGTGAGAACTTGCTGAAGAAGCAAAGAAAGACATTTCTAATTGGCTCCATTTCATTTGACAGGCTGGCAATTTAATGTAGAAGTTTTAAGAAAATTGCTAAACCCCAGGGAATTGTCCTAGAATAAAAGAAAATCATCTATGTGTCATTTAGAATACAGAAGCAAATGCCACGCTTTGTTGTCATTTTTGAGTTTTCATGAAACATTTAATATTACAAAGCTCGTGTTAGGACAAAAGGATCACCTCTTCAGCAATTTTATTGGTTTTGATTTTCCTTTTAGAATTTGCTATCATGTTCTCTATGTTCTCCGAAACCTCCTGTTCTCTTTTCCATTAACAGTAACTCAGAAACACTCAGCAGAAAGAATGCCTTCATTTCCCGGATGTTTGTTCCTTCTCACTCCTTTTCCAGGTGACACCCAGACTTAGTACATTCTCTGCAACAAGGTTTTTGAACTAGCTCTATGCTTTGTTGAAAATTTCCCTTTATCCAAGACAAAAGATCTGGACACAACACAAGATGCCACTAAATTGTATTTATTGCGTCTCCCACCCCATATATCGTAAATAAGAAAGCATTTGTTATAGATTAAATTTTATGTAATTTTCATCCAAAGATCTCTTCTAACTTTAGGTAGCCACTATTACCACTTCTGAAGAGAAACACTGTCCAACTGCAAGTGAGAGGCTGTTTGGGGACGGTTTCTATCTGTTTAGGATTACTTGTCAAAAACTTGAGGTTGACAAAAAATCTGAGAGACAGCGCATCTTTTCACTCCTTCTTTTCCACTTGATGTGTAAGGCCTCCAAACCCAATACCCGTGGGGCCAAAATTTTTGGCATAGCAAACTGTGAACAAGAAGGGGATGAGGGGAGAGAGAATGCACTGGTTAGCACCGCTATTTCAGAGTCTACACTCTGGGCACAGTCCTTTTACCTATTTAGAGACACCCTCTTCATAACTTTATGCCTAAGTTAACTTTTAAATAAATTGAACAATGATTTACTTGCTAATACAATTTTTTATACTTCTTCCCACTTTACTAAGTGTGTTTGTTCAGTCATTTTATCATTTACTCAGCATAATCTGGCTCTGGATTGCCTGCCCAGCCTCATCCCCTCCTGACTTCC